AATTTTGTTTTGACCATTTTATCAATTGATATAAGAGTCAAACATAACTGAAGCTTGGGAGATGTGTTTTGTTATTTAAAAAATGGCACGTTGAACTTGTGGATATGTGTAGAAGCTCAAAAGAGTGAAAGATGTTTAAGCATGTTTTGCGAACTTAATTAGCAGATAACTTAATTAGCAGATCTATATAGAAGAACAAACAGCCATAAAAACCATTTTGAGGAGTTGGAAATACCATCCCTGTTGGGTGTACCATACCTCTTCCCAATTGCTGCAATATACCTGGCTGTATGGGATTCTTGATATGATTGCTTGCTCTTCTCTAGGCAAAGGTTTTACTGAATGACCAATAGTGGCCTGGTTTTCCAGTTAATTTGCACTGGCAGTTCATTTCCTCTACCTGGCCTTAAGTTAATCCAGGTGTTTTTGCTTAAAGTAAGGCTGTAAGCCAGTGTGTCTCAGCATCTTCTCCATCTTTAACCTGTCAGTTGTGTATAAGGGGGGGGGGGGTAATCTCTTTTTGGTTCTCTACACCTTTTCCACGTTTCACAACATGGGGTTGAGAGTCGATTATTTTTTTCCCAGCCTTAATCATCATCATCATCATCATCATCCTCTTCTTTCTGTCAGTCATGTTATGGAGGTGGTCCTTATCATCTGATGCTCATCTTCCTCTGTTAGTTCTCAGGTGTCATTTAGGGCAGAGGTGTGGCTTGAACATATTTGACTGTTCAGGCCCCTCCCACCATGTGGTTTTACCTGATGTTTATACACTGGTTGTGGAAGTCGGGCAAGGGTGGCAGATGGAAGTCAGTTGCCAAAGAGATAGAATTTCAGGAATGCACATCCAAGATTTTCCTTTTCCATATTAAGGGATCTGTTTATAGAGTCGATGAATTTGAGGTGTCTGGTTGATGGATGTTCTGTTCAGCATCAAATGGTGACAAGGATTTTTCATTCAGGAATTTTTAACTAAGGATCAGCGCCATCTTTTTTTAAAAATAAATTATTGGAGTCCCTGGGAGATCGTATTAGCACTGATACCTGACAGTTTATGTAAGAGTTGGCTGAAGAAAGGTGAGTTGTTTTTTTAAAGCATAGATTGGAGAAGTTGATAGATCAGGCGCACACAGGATGTATGGAGTGAAATGCCAAAATGGCTGCTTTAGTACTACAGGAAATCGCTGAACATAAATCGTGAATGTAGACAGGTAAAAGAGTATGAAATTGTTAAAGTGATGATTGAGTGACTTGAAGTTTACTTTTAATGGAAGTACTTATTTTTGAAAGACTGAATTATCAAAAGAGAGAGAGAGAGAGAGAGAGAGCAAGTTTTTGTACTCATCATTTAAAAAGAATAGAATCTGTAAAAGTTCAACCATTTATGTTATTTAGTGCAAACTAAAGAGCAAGTGGTAGGCTTATACTTTACAAGTGCTTTCACATTCTACAAGTGGAAATTGCATTTGTCTTACTCAGAGGGCAACTATTGCATAGAAGTTAATTCTACCCCTATGATAAGGTAACAGGCATCTTAACTTAACATTTGACATTAAGAAACTAACCATGCACAGACAGACCAGTTGAAGCAAAGATACAGAAATGATTTACTGGTTACGCAGGGATGAGACCGGATACAAATTTACCAAGCCACGTAATGTTAGGCAACCCACACAATAGCAAATGGGGCATGTATATAGAATATATAGCTAAAGATCAGGGGTGGGAGGAGTGGGTCGGATAGATGTCATGGGAGGAAGTACCACAGACACATTGGAGTATATACCTGTATCAATGGAAGATGAGTAAAAGAGAGTTGTGTAACAGTCTTCTACATTTCGCCCCCATTGACTGAAAATGAAGGTTTTAGTCTGGGGTTACGTCATGAGGGTAGTCTTTTCTCTGTGGTCGCCACTGTGTTAAAGTTAACACAGTCTTTTCTCTGTGGTCTCCACTGTGTTGAAATTAACACAGGTATCTTGGGTTTTGACATTGCTAGGATGGGAAGGGGGGACATATAGGACAATAAATCCCCCAAAGGACTTAAGTTGCCTTTGATACGTAATTTAACTAGCAGCATTTTGATTTTGCCGCTAAAAATATGTTTTATCAACCTATAGAGGATTATTGGTAATAATGATATTCCTTGATGCATGCTTGATATCTTATTAAAATTATAATGAGAGTCTTCATTAAAATTACAGTAAAAGCTGTATCCTTTGATACAACCAGCATATACACATCAGTACAGGTTATGAAGTATGCAGTCATGAATGTGAAATATACTATTTAACATGTCGCAGAGGAAGAGACTACTGGCCAGTAGATTTTTAGGAGGTCATAGTGGTTCAGAGATGCACATTTTGATTTATTTTGTGACTACATGGATGAGGTTGACTGGTTAGTCTTTATGCCATAAGTACCTGTTCAAGCTAGATGTTGCAGGTAATCCTGTAGAATTCTGGTTTGATTATGAACAAAATTTGTCAAAGTTTTTGTGTGATGGAGTTTGAAGATGGCACATAAATTTCTTGCTATTTAACTTATAATTATGATGAAAATTTAGAAATGAAATATTTTATCAAAGTGGAATGGCATTGATTATTTTATTATTGGTCTAAAAATTGCCTTGCCTAAGTTCAATATCGATTCGTCTAGTTTTAGTCATGGATTGAATACGATGGCTTTTCACTCACCATATCTCATCTTAAACAGGTAAATGATGACATCATACTGGATCTATCTTTAGAACCTTTTTTTGTGTACAACTAACTGTGGATTTTCAGGCCACATGAAGTATGGCAGACTTTCAGATCACCCTCTGGCTTTTGGGCAATTTTACCTGGATGCGTCATGTTTCTTGGGATCTTTTGATCTCCTGGAATACGCAGGGTCTTGTGTTGAGTTAAGAAAACCCCAGAAACGCAGCAGTTATGATAGTTTGTGCCAAAACAGTATCTGTTTCTGGGCAGGATTAGAAAAGTACTTTTTAAAAAAATGAGTTAAAAAACTTGTTATACATAAAAGTAAGACTTTTCCACATTTGACAAAAGTTTGAAATAAAACTATAAAAGACTTGCAGTAATATAAACTAAATGCTTAAGTGAATTGCAGATTATTGTAAAAATGTAGTGAACAAATAACATGTCAGATGGTTCATCAAATTCAAGTCCTCCTGTGTCATTCCATTTTTTATGTCTTTTATAACTTTGTTGTTATAGTTGATCCAAAAGAGTTACCCTTCTAGCTGATGGATTTGCTGGTTCTGCAGACTGAGAATTAACCTGGAAAACATCCATGCCCAGGAGTGAGATTTCACATAAACAAAAATTGGTTCCAGAAAGAGCTTGACATCATGGCTGTTTTCTTAGCATGTTTGGTGTATAATTGAGTGGTCAAGTCTTGGTCAGTGTGATCAGATACCCTTGGTGTCCAGTCATGACCTTAATGGACTAGACAGATTGGGAAAAGAGAGGGGGTGTTTCTTTAATTTTGTTTGTACTTTTTTAACCCCTGAACATTTTAGGCGAATTTGATGTTTTTGATAAACACTTTTGAGGGAGTTTATATTTGTTTGAAGTGAAATAATTGGGTGCAAAAAGATTTCAGATTTAGCATTTTCATTATAGGAAGCAACATAGGCATGGTTGTTGTCAAAATAATGTCAGTTATGTGCTTTGTGTTGCATTGATATAAGTAATATCAGAGAATAAAAAATAGTTGATTATTATTACTCATGAGTCAGTAGCTGAAAATGAGTGCAGAGTGTTATTTTTGGGGGGATTGCATGTTCTTCGTCATCTCCCACACACCTCAACATATGGGAAACTGGTTTTTGTTGAAACCTTACCAGGGATTCTCATTTACTTTCCAGTGTAAATTGTTGTTTTAGCGATCAGGAAAAAGGAGTTAGAAAGTTTGCTGATGGTTCTGCCACCAACTTCTTTGGTGTAAAGTAAGCCATGGTCATATGTCAGTTGCTGGAAATACAAGCTCCATTCAGAATAGGGGAATAACTAGTCCAAGGGTCAAATATGGCTGACCCATTTGAATACTTCCCCAAGGGATATCTATTCAGTGTCTATTAGGGGATTAGACAGCAAGCTTTGTAGTGGGTCGCCATATTTAACCCTCTGACTAGTTAGTCCCCTATTCTGAATGTGGCCATAGACTGTTGTAGCTGGTGGAGGAAAGCAAGATTCAAGCTACAGTAGAGAGTGTGTTTGTCTTAAATCTGATCCACAATTGTAAGTGTCCTCCAGGGTTTTCAAGGGAGGTCTTAGTACAGTGGCACACTTCTGTGTCAACTCCAATGCTGTAATATTTTCATTTAAGACTGGACTGACTGTGTGGTTTACTAGAGAGAGAGAGAGAGAGAGAGAGAGAGAGAGAGAGAGAGAGAGAATTTGGTAAAAAGGGGAAGGAAGGGATATTAAGTAGGGGTTGGTTAGGGTAATACAAAGTCAATCACAAAATGTTGTCACACCAATTATACCATAGGCACAAACACAGCTGTGTTACCCAGCTAACACCAAATATACCCTGGACTCTGTAATACCCATGCCTTAAACAATTTACATCAGCCTTGATTTCTGCACAACATTTATGCTCTAGTTATAGTGTGTGAACTGTAAGAAAAAACATCAACATTTACGCAGGCATTTTCCTGCAGAACTCCCCTGCAGAACTCCGAGGCTAATTTACAGTGACATAAAAATACCTTGTTTTGGGTAATTGAGCACACCAGTCTATGATATATAACAGCCCTTTCTGTGAGTTTACTATTTCCATAGGTGGCACTTACATGTAGATTGCTGCCTACAGTACAAAATTAATATATCAGAACATTAATTGACGATGGATATTGAATATGACATTACACAATTAAGGTCAAATAATTAATATCTGGGTTATTTTCCAAGTGGCCTATATTTGCTTTGTTAACAGCGATAATTTCCTGTAATTGTGAACTATAAATATCTTATCATTTGTGTTTCTAGGTGGTGACTGCATGTAATCCTCCCAGCAGCAGTATAGAACTGGTAAGTACTAAAATACCTGGAACCAGTGTGTGTGTGTGTGTGTGTGTGTGTGTGTGTGTGTGTGTGTGTGTGTGTGCGTGTGTGTGTGTGTGTGTGTGTGTGTGTTTGGATATTTACATATTATGTGCATGTATGTTGAAATAATGTTTGATGACTTATGTGAATGTTTTTATCTAGGCCTGTAAAAGTTCTGATTTTAAAGAGACTTGGATAGTCTGCAATCGTAGGTTGCATGCACATGGGGCATTGTTTGCATTCTGATAGACAATTTTCATAGGTATACATGTTCTTGATACTTATGCCGTGGCAGAACCAGTTTCTCCTCACTGACAAACAGTCACATGTAGTACAGAAATAACCAGCAATTATTTAAACTGACAGCATTTAGACAGTATATCCCACATTTGGGGGGCAAAAATGAATGAGAACATTCACTTTTTCAGCATCCTGCATTGTTAAGGCATGGTTGTGATTTTTTTTTTCACACAATTTCAAAACTTCCCACTTATCTTGTCACTTTGATAAATAGCCAACTTGTCAAATTTTTCCTGGCATCAACAGTGATTATTATGTTTTTGTGTGAAACAGGAACACAATACTTGTTTTTGTTTTTCTCAAAAGAGCATTTTAATGTTGACAAGCATCTGGTACAGTTTAAATCTGTTTCACAAGTTGAATGGAAATGAAGATGCACATATAATTATGTATTTTACTTTTTTTATATCATTGCTTTTCTAGATTTTTTTCACAACTAAGTGGTAAAGTAGGCTGTGACACCTCTGCTTTAAATTGATTCAGATTTCAAGCCTGGCAGCTGAATAGCCCTGTTTTTCTTTTTAGATGAATGTATAGAGAATATCAACATGTTGAAATTAATTGGGTTGTCTTGGTGGTATCCTGTCTTTTCCTTCACCTTCCCATTTTTGTCTGTTGGCCTGAATACAAATTGTTGAGTTTAGAATTAAAATCACCTACTTAGCTTCACATTATTCAGACCTGTTGAATTTCCATCATGTAAAGAAAGTGCTGTGCATATTTTCATGATTGTTGAACATGGCTTCAGAATACAGGTTTTTTCACTTTTTTTCCTAAAACATACATTTTTGGCTAGATATTGCTGTCCAAAACGAGGTGCCTATGCAATATTTTTGCCCTATGCAAGGCCCTTGTATCATTTCATTCAATTAAAAGATGTCATACTTTATTTTTTCTTCTTGATTCTATTATAAATACAGTGGTGGGATGTTTCCTGGTGTAAGCTGGTATATGTTTGTTTGGAAGGAGTGCTAGGTAATTACTTGCATCTCATTTATCATTGGGGTTGCAGTTGCAATACTAATAAAGACACAAGTTTTAAGATTTAAGATTGATATTCTAATTTTTAAACCCAAGGAAATAAAGTTCTAAAAGAAGAAAAAAATCATTTGATTAATTTGGTTCAGTTGAATCCTGTCAAAAAAGGCATGTTAATGAATTTTACCCAGGTGCTTGCCCTGGGTTTCAGCAGTAGAATTTTACACAGGGCCTTTGGCACTGATGTGTTCATACTTACCCTTAACCAATGAGATTGCAGGCAGAAGGAAAGCTAATCTTAATATTTTATCTGTAATTAGAAATTAAGATTTCTTCTCCTCTTTGCCCAGAGAAAAAAGTGGCATACTTTTGTGCAAGAAGGGCGCCTGCTTTGGGTTTGGATAGATTAATGTTTTCTATTTCCTTGTTACTAGCATTGTTTTCCTGTGTTTTTCAACATTATCAGCATGCCACTGTTTTTACAGCCAGATTCTTTTTTTTACAAAACAAATCTGATTGTTCTGAAGACTTTCCAAACAGTTGACACCCTTCCTTTTGCCTTCCTCTTCTAACCTCCCTCTCTCTTGTGATGTAGTGAAAATTTTCAAATATTCATCTACAGTAATATCAGAATTCATTTGTTAGCAAATAGAAACAATAAACAATCCATGAATTTGATACTTAACAGTTGTAAGATATTGCTGATGAAAATGTGTTTTTACAAAATGGGTCCAAGTCCACAATATATGCTATTATTTAAGACTATGTTCCCATAAACCCATCGTACCAGCTGGATCGATCTAACTCTGTGGGGCTAAAGTGCTTTCGCTGTAATCAGATTAATTGTCTGACACGCCCCCTTGAGTAAGTGGGAGATCATTGACTATCATTAATTACCCCTTATCAGCTTTGGTGAGAATCCCTGAAGAGTTAGATTGGTCCAGCTAGCAAGATGGGTTTATCTGAACACTCCCTAAGCCAGGCACTAGTAGTCTGTGGGGCCGAGACTCTCCAGGTAGTGCTCTGAATACCAATTTGTTTACCTTGGCATACACCAAACTTCCATTCTATACATTATTCAAGCATGGCCAAAAATGGTGATTTTTCCTAGAACTAGGTCATTTTGAAGTTTTCTTAGATGTGGCAAGTCTGATTGAGGCTAAATTGATTCAAAACAACCTCCAGGCGACATACAAATCAGTGCAATTGCTGGGAATGCAATGGGTTGATTTTACAAAATTGCTTGTGGCCAAAAATGGTGACTTTTACCACCTGGTTACATATTTACAGTCACTGAAATATATGCCATTTTGCACAGGGTTTAGGGAGCACAATTGAGCCCTGTTTCTTTTCTGTGGGGTTTTGGCACATTTTACCAGGCATATTTATCTATTACCAGTGACCTAATAACATATATTGGTGTAAAACCTGTATGTTAATATTTGGTTGAAATGTTTTGATTTCCTGGAAATGAGTTAAAAAAAATTGACCAAGACCAAAACAAATGTAATGCTAGAGTAGGTTCAACTTCTTTAAAAAAAAGCCTTAGCCATGGCCAAGGGGTTTATTATATGAAAAATAGTATGGGGAATCATACTAGGAAGAACTTCATCTATTCAGAATCTTTTGGTAAAATAATTCAAAGGCTTTTCAGGACCGAGGTATATGGTTTGCAGGCGTCAAAATGTTCTGGGAAGACATTTAAAAGGTTCCTGGAAAGGGTTAATGTTTCAGGAATCATTAGACAAAACAATTTAGGCTTGTTTTATGCTGGCCAAGGTATGCTTTGTGTAGGAGGTGATATGTTGTTTGGAGGAATGTGGAAAGGTTCAAATGTTAACTGCTTTGAAGTTTGGAGATGTGTGTATTCATGTTTATCAGGATAAGTTGTAGGGCCAATCAGCTGAAGAGTTGATTATGCTGCATCCTTTGGTGCAAATTTGTGCACGTGCAAGCACAGGAGTATGTGTCTGTTGTTTGTAAAACTTGCCTAAATTTTCTTTTTCTAATTTCACAATGAACTCAATTTTACAAGGATTTCTAAAAAAGCTCCAATGGTTAGTCCTACAATTTTGCTGGCACAGGTTATGAACTCTGCTTGAAAAGCCAGAATTATTAACACCACTTAAAGATCAGCCATTAGAGAAAAGTAGTGCATGGATAAGGATCCTCGTCTTAGTAGAGCTATAAACTTTTCATTGCCATCAGTATTCCTTTTCATACTGGCTTTAAAAATTCTTGAAAATATAGCTACCAAGGAATTCTGTGAGTTACGTACATGAAGGAAACAATAGCAGAAAAGCAGAACGAAGTTAATTCATACAATGTGGCATACAAAAAACGCGAGGTGTTCTAACGATCAAATTTCTCTGATAGAGAACTACATTAAAAGCCACTTTTACACAGCTAATAGTTTTACAGCAGGNATCAAAATTGACAAAATGACCTCTTTTGCATCTTTTTTTTCTGTTTTTTGTCTGTACATTTGACAGCTTTGCTGCCTTGTCTTCTTGATTCTATTATAAATACAGTGGTGGGATGTTTCCTGGTGTAAGCTGGTATATGTTTGTTTGGAAGGAGTGCTAGGTAATTACTTGCATCACATTTATCATTGGGGTTGCAGTTGCAATACTAATAAAGACACAAGTTTTAAGATTTAAGATTGATATTCTAATTTTTAAACCCAAGGAAATAAAGTTCTAAAAGAAGAAAAAAATCATTTGATTAATTTGGTACAGTTGAATCCTTTCAAAAAAGACATGTTAATGAATTTTACCAAGGTGCTTACCCTGTGTTCCTGCAGTAGAATTTTACACACAAAGTTCCAGGGCCTTTGGCACATATATGTTCATACTTATCCTCAACCAATGAGATTGCAGGCAGAAGGAAAGCTAATCTCAATATTTTATCTGTAATTAGAAATTAAGATTTCTTCTCCTCTTTGCCCAGAGAAAAAAGTAGCATTCTTTTGTGCAAGAAGGGCGTCTGCTTTGGGTTTGGATAGATTAATGTTTTCTATTTCCTTGTTACTAGCGTTGTTTTCCTGTGTTATTCAACATTATCAGCATGCCACTGTTTTACAGCCAGGTTCTTTTTTTACAAAACAAATCTGATTGTTCTTAAGACTTTCCAAACAGTTGACACCCTTCCTTTTGCCTTCCTCTTCTTACCTCCCTCCCTCTTGTGATGTAGTGAAAACTTTCAAAATATTCATCTACAGTAATATCAGAATTCATTTGTTAACAGATAGAAACAATAAAGTATCCTTGAATTTGATACAAAACAGTTATAAGATATTGCAGATATAAATGTGTTTTTACAAAATGGATCCAAGTCCACAATATATGCTATTATTTAAGACTGTGTTCCCATAAGCCCATCGTACCAGCTGGATCGATCTAACTCTGTGGGGCTAAAGTGCTTTCGCTGTAATCAGATTAATTGTCTCACACGCCCCCTTGAGTAAGTGGGAGATGATTGACTATCATTAATTACCCCTTATCAGGTTTGGTGAGAATCCCCGAAGAGTAAGATTGGTCCAGCTAGCAAGATGGGTTTATCTGAACACTCCCTAAGCCAGGCACTAGTAGTCTGTGGGACCAAGACTCTCCAGGTAGTGCTCTGAATACCAATTTGTTTACCTTGGCATACACCAAACTTCCATTCTATACATTATTCAAGCATGGCCAAAAATGGTGATTTTTCCTAGAACTAGGTCATTTTGAAGTTTTCTTAGATGTGGCAAGTCTGATTGAGGCTAAATTGATTCAAAACAACCTCCAGGCGACATACAAATCAGTGCAATGGCTAGGAATGCAATGGGTTGATTTTACAAAATTGCTTGTGGCCAAAAATGGTGACTTTTACCACCTGGTTACATATTTACAGTCATTGAAATATATGCCATTTTGCATGAGTTTAGGGAGCTCAATTGAGCCCTGTTTTTGTTTCTGTGGTGTTTTGGCACATTTTACCAGGCATATTTATCTATTACCAGTGATCTTATAACATAAATTGGTGTAAAAACCTATATGTTAATATTTGGTTGAAATGTTTTGATTTCCTGGAAATGAGTTGAAATGAGTTAAAAAATTGACCAAAACAAATTTAATGTTAGAGTAGGCTCAACTTCTTAAAAGAAAAAAAAGCTTTAGCCATGGCCAAGGGGTTTATTATATGAAAAATAGTATGGGGAATCATACTAGGAAGAACTTCATCTATTCAGAATCTTTTGATAAAATAATTCAAAGGCTTTTCAGGACCAAGGTATATGGTTTGCAGGAGTCAAAATGTTCTGGGAAGACATTTAAAAGGTTCCTGGGAAGGGTTAATGTTTCAGGAATCATTAGACAAAACAATTTAGGCTTGTTTTATGCTGGCCAAGGTATGCTTTGTGTAGGAGGTGATATGTTGTTTGGAGGAATGTGGAAAGGTTCAAATGTTAACTGCTTTGAAGTTTGGAGCTGTGTGTATTCATGTTTATCGAGGATAAGTTTTAGGGCCAATCAGCTGAAGAGTTGATTATGCTGTATCCTTTGGTGCAAATTTGTGCATGTGCAAGCACAGAAGTATGTGTCTGTTGTTTGTAAAACTTGCCTAAATTTTCTTTTTCTAATTTCACAATGAACTCAATTTTACAAGGGTTTCTAAAAAAGCTCCAATGGTTAGTCCTACAGTTTTGCTGGCACAGGTGATGAACTCTGCTTGAAAAGCCAGAATTATTAACACCACTTAAAGATCAGCCATTAGAGAAAAGTAGCACATGGATAAGGATCCTCGTCTTAGTAGAGCTATAAACTTTTCATTGCCATTAGTATTCCTTTTCATACTGGCTTTAAAAATTCTTGAAAATATAGCTACCAAGGAATTCTGTGAGTTACGTACATGAAGGAAACAATAGCAGAAAAGCAGAACGAAGTTAATTCATACAATGTGGCATACAAAAAACGCGAGGTGTTCTAACGATCAAATTTCTCTGATAGAGAACTACATTAAAAGCCACTTTTACACAGCTAATAGTTTTACAGCAAGAGAAAAAAAAAGCAAGCATGAAATGTTCACCACTGATGTGCATAGAAATAATGAGCCGAATAGAATGCCAACGGTCAGTGGAAGTAAACTCACGTGGAAAGGTGTATGTTCGCCCTCTGAGATAAACAGTCACAAACCAGTTTCACCTGTATTGCTAAAGAAAAACATCTTAAAAGAGAGAGAAGAGAGATCTGCAGAGAGAGGGAGCACTAGTGTTTAAGTTTGTAGGCTACAGGATCAGTTTACAGTCAGTTATTGTGATTTGCCCTAGGGCAATTTGTGTAATATTTCACATTTTTTGCATTGACATTGAAGAGTTTAGGCTAGGCTCGTTGAATAGTCCTTCTCCCAGTAGTTTAATGTTACAATAATGCACTAAGGATTGTTAAAATTTGCAGCAGTATATGTTTCAGTGGAAGTTTTTTTCTTATTTCAGCAGAGCCATGATACTTTAAAGAGGCAGCAGCAGCAACAGCATCCACATCATCAGCAGCAGCACGTACATTATTCTGTAAGTATGAAAATGATTAAGTCTTTGTGAAAACATGGACTGTTCATATCAAATGCTACTACCCATTACTGAAATGGGGAAAGAGAGCACTTTGTTTCCAGTGTAGGTCAAATTGGCCATGTAAGTTGTGCATTAAGTGCTTTACCAGTGGGAGCCTTTAAATACTAGAGGGGGTTGGTAGAAATGGTCTCAAGAAAGGCTTATCCAATACCTTTGAATTTGTAGTGCTTTCTTTATCCATCCTATAAATCCTTCCTATTTGCTATAAAATGTTTTTTGCCAAGCCCTGCTCGATATCACATCTGACAGGAAATCCAGCAGCAAGATCGGAATTGACACCATAGTTGCGTGACAATTCCATCACCTAACTTGAACATCAATCCCCCCTACAACTTATGTCTCCATGAGTAGGAGCTTTAACAAGATGACAAGAGAGCCAGAGGACAACAGAGATAATGTGGCATGGAAATCGTGCAGTGATTTTCTAGTGGAGATACTGTTACCTAATCTGCATGCGTATGTCATTGTCACTTGATCCGGTCACCAAGTCCTAGAAGCAACATATCTTTGGCTTACTGCTGAGTGCAAAATTACTGTAAAAAGGAGTCCATGACAATTGAATGATGGACATGACACCATGGGCTTTTGTTTTAGTTGTAAGAGGTTAGGATTCTGCATGAAGTGGTTAAATTTTTTTATTAGAATTCTGTCATAAAGACAAATACAGCTTTGACATCAAGTTCAGAGGATAGTCATAGCCACTGGAAGTATTTTTACTTCACTGTATATTTTTGAACAACTGTAACTGCCACAATAGCAGCAGTTCTTGGTTCTAGGTATAGGTTTTTGGATCCAGCTGTCACCTGGAAATCCAGGTAACTGAACTGTAAAAGGTGCTGCTACAAAATGGGACGGAATGAATTAAAACAAAATTATTTCTGCAGGCAAAATGGTGATTAAGGATGTGGTACCAATTTTTGACATTTGAAGCATATTTTGAGTTTTTTTAAACTCCCCTCTCAATTTGCAGCAGATTGACAAATATTTCTTTGAAGTTCAAATATTATTAATTGAAAAGATGCAGGGTTATCATATTATACCTAGATGAACAAGTGAAAGTTATCAACCAGAAACATCAGAAGTTATGATGGCTTTTTGAATTTTCCAAAAAAAAAAAATGCATTGCATTACTGAATTGCCTTTATAAACTGAACATATGGGGTTCCTACAGAGACATCACATTAAGTACAGCTCAGTGGTAAGTTTTGCAAATTGAAGGCACTGGTGCTATTCTTCTAGGTTTTCAACACCATGTAGCAGACTCCTACCAGTCTGTAGGTAATTTGTATTTCTGAGTTCTTAGAGTTATGGTATATGTATTCTTTATTAGTTTGAGCATATGTTTTGGGTCATTGTTATGGTCAGAACTTGAACAAAAGCAGATTAGGTATGAACTCACTCTGGTACTCCTCGACTAGCATGTGGTGGAAAGTGGAATATGTTTTCTGCTGGATTTCTATGGCAATAGTTAAAGCAACGTTGGTGTGTGTTTTGATGAACTTCTATTTTTAAACACTATTGTTAAGGATTAGTAAAAGGTACTGGAACCATTCGACATGGGGAACAGTTCAATTTTGGTTCAGTGTTTTTAAGGTCAGGTTGTTTATTTTCAAACTAAAAGGTTATTTGGCTGACCTTGAATGAAATGGTATCTTGACGTATGACATTTTTAATTAAAATTTTCTTCTAGGGCTACAAAAGTAAGAAAATTTTGCCTAATCAAAAGACAGTTTTCATTTTATTGGTTTCAATATTTATTCAATAGAGCATATAATATGCCACCGATTAAAAACAGTTTCAAGTTTCAGTTTTGAACAAGACTTGACTATTCATAGTTATTTCACTTTAAAAAATTATTCAGGAGTTGCTGTGATTGGTTAGACTGAAAAAATTGCACAGGGACTAATTACAGGACTGGTTTAAGTACGAGATGTGCATAGATTAAACAACACCATAAATTATAGAATAATACAGAGGGAAAATGGCTTAGTTTTACAGGTTTTAGGCTACTTAAAGGTTAAAGTGACATGTTGAATAACCTAGGCACTCTTAAACGTACTTAATTTATTGCCAAGGTTGACTGGAGGAAATCACTAATTTAAAGTGTATAATTCGGGTGACATTTTGATCAGGTGACATTTCATTAGAACATTGCAGTGGTTGGAACATGAAGATCAAAGCAAATTAGCTTCTATGGCAATATATTTGGGGGGGGGGGGGAGCATTTTAGGTCTGTGTTGAATACAAAATCCATGAAAGTTTCTTTTTAAAAAGCAAACTGAAATGCACCGCTTTCTTATTACCGATGCTTACATAACATACAAGTTTGGTGTTAAAAGGACAATCAGTACCACACAAATAAAATGGCTACATGCAGAAACATTTTTTGATATTTGGAGAACTGTACGTTTGGTGAAGATGCCTATGTGATCAACATGATGAAATGTAAGTAGATAATCCAAGAAGTGGTTATGGCATAATCTTCTTCTGAAGGTTGCACAAAGGTTAGGTATAATTGGGGTCATGTTTTTTTTTTTTCTTTTTTGCCAAAGCTCAGGAACCATTTCCCCCAACGAATGATTGGCATTAAATCATCAAATATTTTTCTTCATTTTTAGCCCAAATGAGTTATCTATAGCAAAAAATTTGCAAAAATATTTTACGTCTGCATAAGCCTACTACACGCACATCCACTGGTTGTAATAACAGTGGTGATAATCACGGCGAGCAGGCCATTAGTTTGATTTAGTTGTTGAGTGTGCATGGAAATAATGCAGACATTTGTGGCAATTTGGCACAACATAATCTCTCTGTCTAATTGAGTTGGCTATGATGAAATAGCGGTGTTATGTGGTCTATAGTGTGGGTTGTTTGTGGCATGTTTAGTATTGGATGAAAAGGGTTATGTTGTTGAATATATAGGACATGTTGATCTTCATGGATTTTTAAATCATATTTGAAAACTTCAGTATTGTATTGAAATTAACAATAAACAGTGGTTGCATAGATATTATTAGATAAAGTTAGATAAAAGGTAATCCAGCCCCCTTTAAAAATCACATCAGTCATTTCTTTATATATACATGTACATGTATATGCATCTTTGAATAGGATTCTCAATTGCTGACCTAACTGCAGGTTGTCCAGGTAAATCCTAGCACCACAGGAAATATTGTATTAACAAACATAGCATAAAATGTATGGTGTTTTTCTTTTTTAAGGGCAAAAAAGCATTGTTGGCAATAATGTGAGTGCAGTAAGTGGGTACGATTACCTTGAAATCAGCAAGACCAGCATTGTTTGGCATGGCTTACAGACAGACCCATATATAAATAGTATTGTTTTCACAACTTTCATTACCCATCCCACTCGGATATGTCATTCAGGTTTTAGAAATAGGGACAGCAGCAACCACAACTCGAGATGCACGCTCCCACCCACTCATTTCGGAGTAGTCGCTTCAGAAGTCAGGACAGTGCTTCAGCCATACAAGGCAAGGATTGTTCCCGGTCCTGCCTACATGTGGTCATAGTTACTCACTGATTCAAAAATTGTTTTCCTGTTTGGTTTTTAAATGCATCTGCAGCCTGACCCCAAACTTCATTGATGTAACACCAAGAGTACAGTCTAGGTAACTTATTAACTGCCAGATTGTTGTATTTATGCTGGCTATATTTGTTAAATATCTTTTTTTATTTAAGCCACGCTTTTATTTTCTGAATTTGATTGGATCTTTGGATTACTTACTTACTGCATCCTAGACTATTAAAGAGTGCGTTCAAGTTTTATTGGAGAAGTAACACAGACCCCAGGACTGCTTAATAAGGTAATTGTTTGGTTTCAGGTTTTGTTATTCGCTCTTCATGTAAAGACGGTTATAGCATGCATGGGTTTAACAAGCTCCTTTTAAAAGAGGTTGGTTTATGGGTTTTTTTATAAGATGATGATCCATAGGATCTGAACAACATGCTGCTCTTGATCTAGATAATACCAATTTGTGGAAGGGATTTGTTTTAAATGCTGGCGTAACTCGATTTACCACTGTGGTGATGTCTCTCTTTTGGGACCCAGCCATCTGTCAACCTAATACTCTGCGGTTAGTGTTCTCAGCTCTCTGTCCATCAGATCTGGCTTTATACAAACATCTATCTGGATATTGATGGAAGCACAGTCGTCAGCTGCATATATATTAGAATATTTGTCAACCAACCTGCAATCTTCTTTATGAGAAGTTAGTAAAAGAAAATCTGCCAATATTTTTCTTTCATTTGCCATTTTTTACTGATTGGAATATGTTTTGGAGTCTGACAAAGTAATTCGCTGATAAAAAGGATTGATGGGAAAAACCAAGGAAGGATTAGAAACTTATTTTCACTGCAAATTGGCCTTGGGAAAGATGCTCAAGATCTGGAAAGGGAACAATAATAAACAAAAGGCATGAGATTTCAAGTTTCAAGTGTTGAATTAAACTAAGCAGGGTTTTAAAACTGTGCTTGGAACTGGAGGTTTACTTCCACACAAGGCTTTGTTTTGACGAAAAAGTAAAATGAAGGAAGTCAGGAGTGAAACAACAATAAACTGAGATTTCACTGGAGGACTCTTTGGACTTCATTTAACTCTGAGACTCTCATTGGTCTCATTCATAAGTTCAAAACAGCTTAGAGGCAATAAAAAAACATAAGAGTGATCAAGGACAGAAAAAAGTTAAGTGAAAAAAGTTTACTGCCACCATGAAGCTGTTGAGACCTTGTACATCATGCAGTGCCAGACGTAAGAACAAGGCTGTGCAGTTTGCTCCCATTGAGGTAGGGTAAGGTACAGAACTTGGGGGAACGTTATTCTTTTTACAGATAGAAGAAGAATACAGTCATGTTTTCTAGTACTACGTATTTCAAAGAAGGGTGACGGGTGCAGAATTTAGTCAAGAGACATATGTTTTGGTTTTACTTTTTGTCTGTGTGATGCTCAAGAATGCCTACTTTTTTTGCTTCATTAATAGTACATTGCCTGTGACCAGTGCTACAAACAGACTCCTGTCTAAATAGTGCATATGAAGATATTACTGTAGGGTGGTACTCGTTTTTTTAATGTAAATAGTCCATTGTGATGGCAAATAAATACTGTAATCTGTTTCATTAGTTTTAATGTTTAAGTACAGCCTTAGGATGGCTGACAAGGGGGCACGCCCCACTGAATGTAAATAGTCCATAACCTTGGGGTGTGATGACAGATACAGATGCAAATGGAGAAAAAAACTGTACAGTGGCTATGTAGGGCCATCCATTGTCATTGTTAACTGTCACTTTATGTAGACATACCTTTGGGTAACTGCTCACAAGCACCATGCTATGTTGTTAGTTTGGCACCAGTCCAAAATCTTACAGGATGGTGACAGATATAGACACCTTGCTGTATATTTTAATTCACAGGAGCTACCTATATTGTTTACTTGCCAGTGACTTCCTGGGTGTTTTATAGCCCACTGAATGTAAATGGACCATGAGCCATAAAAGGCTATTGACATATACAGACAGGTTGCTGGCATTTTAATTGAAAATTCAAGCCATTAGGAATTCAACATGGTTTTCTTGGCCAGGTTGGGGGTGGGGCTAACACTCTACAGAATGTAAACAGCCGGTGACGGGAATAGGTGGTGACAGATGAGGACAACTACCTGTCACCATGTACCACACAGAACCTTCATTTAATGGTTTGACAGGTGACCACCTGGTGAGAGTTCTTAAATGCTCCATTTAATGTACTCCACCTGTGATTCCCTATGTGTGTACCATGCTCTGTATCATGTTCCCATCAACAAGACTTGATGTAGTGAAAGATCTTGAAAAGTGATGACAGACATGGACAGCTTGCTGTCACCCTCATATTGCAAGGGTCTGCACCAAAGTGTTGAAAGTGTTACTGGGACAGCTGACAGAAGCTGCAAATATTTACTTTTTTTAGCAAGTTCATACCATGTGCAACTAAATATTTCTGCCAAAAGTATGAAATTTTAGATCTTATATGTGTACATGAATGTTTGTCTTTGAGTATTTTGTTCTTCTTTAATAGTCCACCTTAATACATTTTATATCAGTGATCTGACAGATAAACTAAAATGTATTTTTCTGTTCTCCTCCAGCAGCCAGTGGCAAGCACAGCAGGCGTAGAGCCCAAGTCACACTACACCATGTCTAAGTAAGTACTCTCCTATTAGTACTTAGTTTGAAACTGGTTTACCCTTACCATCAATCATTAGGCTGTGCATCATCTTTTAATGGGTAAAGGGATCTAATTGTTCATAATGTTTTTTGTTAATATGCTTGTTTGTATGTGTGTTATGATTGGGTTTATGTGTATTACTAGTATTAACATGACATTTTTTTTATTTATTAAACTTTATTTATTGAAGGTAAAAAAATGGTAAGTTTAAAATTCATCTTTCCCATTGCCCTTATATATAAGGTTCTGATACTGCAGGATAAATATCAGCATAAAAAAACTGCTCCAAAGCTATGGCTACATTTGCAATTAGGTGAAGAATTTCCCAAGTGATGTTCTTTTTAAAAAACGCACTAACATGCACAAAGGATCTATTTTGAAATAGAACGCTTGTAATTAACATTCACAACAATTATAGAAAAAATGAACATTAACGTCAGATATGTTCATTATTTTCCCAGATAACTCTAGCTATTATCACAATCAGGATATGTTTCTCAGTACTCACAATCAGGATATGTTTCTCAGTACTTAAAGAGCAGTAACAAGACATTGGCTATTCTCATGGCCTTTGAGATTTGCCATAGGACCAAGAGGAATGAAATTTCTTGATTGTGGCTAAAATGTTTACAATTAAAATATTGCTGNCCCTATGTTGTTTACTTGCCAGTGACTTCCTGGGTGTTTTATAGCCCACTGAATGTAAATGGACCATGAGCCATAAAAGGCTATTGACATATACAGACAGGTTGCTGGCATTTTAATTGAAAATTCAAGCCATTAGGAATTCAACATGGTTTTCTTGGCCAGGTTGGGGGTGGGGCTAACACTCTACAGAATGTAAACAGCCGGTGACGGGAATAGGTGGTGACAGATGAGGACAACTACCTGTCACCATGTACCACACAGAACCTTCATTTAAGGGTTTGACAGGTGACCACCTGGTGAGAGTTCTTAAATGCTCCATTGAATGTACTCCACCTGTGATTCCCTGTGTGTGTACCATGCTCTGTATCATGTTCCCATCAACAAGACTTGGTGTAGTGAAAGATCCTTGAAAAGTGATGACAGACATGGACAGCTTGCTGTCACCCTCATATTGCAAAGATCTGCACCAGGCTGTTGAATGTGTTACTGGGACAGCTGACAGAAACTGCAAATATTTACTTTTTTTTTAGCAAGTTCATACCATGTGCAACTAAATATCTCTGCCAAAAGTATGAAATTTTAGATCTTATATGTGTACATGAATGTTTGTCTTTGAGTATTTTGTTCTTCTTTAATAGTCCACCTTAATACATTTTATATCAGTGATCTGACGGATAAACTAAAATGTATTTTTCTGTCCTCCTTCAGCAGCCAGTGGCGAGCACAGCAGGCGTAGAGCCCAAGTCACACTACACCATGTCTAAGTAAGTACTCTCCTATTAGTACTTAGTTTGAAACTGGTTTACCCTTACCATCAATCATTAGGCTGTGCATCATCTTTTAATGGGTAAAGGGATCTAATTGTTCATGATGTTTTTTGTTAATATGCATGTGTGTATGTGTGTTATGATTGGGTTTATGTGTATTACTAGTATTAACATGACATTTTTTTTATTTATTAAACTTTATTTATTGAAGGTAAAAAAATGGTAAGTTTAAAATTCATCTTTCCCATTGCCCTTATATATAAGGTTCTGATACTGCAGGATAAATATCAGCATAAAAAAACTGCTCCAAAGCTATGGCTACATTTGCAATTAGGTGAAGAATTTCCCAAGTGATGTTCTTTTTAAAAAACGCACTAACATGCACAAAGGATCTATTTTGAAATAGAACAGCTTGTAATTAACATTCACAACAATTATAGAAAAAATGAACATTAACATCAGATATGTTCATTATTTTCCCCAGATAGCTCTAGCTGTTATCACAATCAGGATATGTTTCTCAGTACTCACAATCAGGATATGTTTCTCAGTACTTAAAGAGCAGTAACAAGACATTGGCTATTCTCATGGCCTTTGAGATTTGCCATAGGACCAAGAGGAATGAAATTTCTTGATTGTGGCTAAAATGTTTACAATTAAAATATTGCTGCTTATATATATGAATTTACATGCATTTTGAAAAACTTCACCACACCACATACCTATCCTGACATCTACACATGCATGCATACATGCACACTCACACACACACACACACAAAACCGTCCAGACTCTTCCTGATCATAAATAACAGAATAGGCTTGCTATTACCATAAGAACCCAATAAGGGTTCACCCATCTGCTTGCAATGCATGAGTGTTTTTGAAGCTTTTTGATATCAAGGGTTATTCTAAACATTGTGCCTGCAATGGCTGGAACTATTGCAAACTCTGTTTGTAGCTTAGAATCCTTTTTGTGGCTGCAAGAAGTTGAGAGCTTTTATATAATTACCAGTGTAACTCTCTACTGAGCATCTCAGTAAGATATTTAGTCTGTTTATTAGGGAACTATTAGAAAATCTTCAAAACATTTGCCAATATGTTTCTAAAAAACCCTTGAGATTTAGATGACTGTTGGAGGTAACCAGATGGTTTTTATAGCATTGCCAATCCAGTTTTCATCTGGGCATTTGCAGCTTTTATAGGATAGTTGTGTTCTGTTTGAACTTCCAGTATGTTTTCAAACAATATCAGTACGTGTTACTTGGAAAAACCACGACATACCACATACACAATACAAGCCTGGAAGCTTTTGAATTATGCTCAGAATTGGCATTGTTTTCCAATGTCATGGATAAAACCAATTAATGATGAAACTGCAAGAGGTAGCTCAAAATACTAAGCGCAGTTATCAACAAATGTCCTTGTTGATTAAACCCGTTAATGATGAAACTGTCGGCGAAAATATTTCAAGGCAATGCAGTGCCATCTAGTGCCTCCACCAGAACCTGCTGGTGTTAGGACATTGTGTGTGTTGCGTGGATGTATATCGAGAGAGTCAATAACTTAGCCTGCATATAGGCTAGAACTGTATGGCAGAGTGAACAGGAAGAGAACACATAGTGCTTAGTATTAACACAGGTGGTGCTGAGGACCCAAGGAGGTTGATATTAACACAGGCACAGGTGGAAATCTTATTTTGGCACAGGGTTCCAACAGCAGTAGTTTAGATATTAAAATAAATGCTATCAAATCATGGCGTCTATGTTCTGTTGCAGCCGAAGACGCGGAGAGCAGTTTGACATGGATCTGACGTATATAACAGAGAGGATCATTGGTGAGTAGAGTTTGATTATAGATTTTGATGAAAATGGTAATTTACTTATTGGACTTGCACCCTGAGTTTCAGTACCATGAACATACAATCATGTGTAAAAATTAATCCAAACCTAATGGCATATAGTCTTTAAGTTCAAAAACTAAACTAGCTACCCACTGTCTTCCTGAAGGTCAGTTACAATAGTAAGATTTTATCTCATAGTAACAAATACAATATATGTCTCGTATTTGAGGTGGCATATTTAAATTCTCTTGAACTCCAGTAAAAGTTTGCTTCTAACTATAGTACGAACCCATGTACCTACATACTGTGAACTTGCTTGTAATGCCTCAACAGAGTAGTTGCTGTTTTAGGTTCAAAACTTCATTAAAACCCTAATTTATTTGGGCTCCTTTTTATGACATGTTTCATCGACCATTGGATAGAAGGTTGCACCTGTTGGGGCAGATATATTTGTAATTAGCTTGGTTAATTTACCTGGGAAGCATGAATGAGAATGGGAGATGTTCAAGTCCAGAGATATATTTAGCTCTTGTTAAATGTAGTGAGTAAAGGTGGTAACTGTACCTAAGTATGATGCTTATTGAGAAGTCAGTCAAGGCAAAATGTATGGGATATGATGGCAAGTGAAAAAAAAGCATGATTAATTCAATCAGCAGTTGTAAGACCACAATTAAGAAAAGTTATGAAAAATGCATATTTTGAGAGATAATGAAACTTGTGATTCTCTCCCAGCAGGTAATAATACCACAAAATGGGAGAAGCTTTTAACTTAATTGCTAATTGTAGTTACTTCTTATTGCTTGATGTATCGTTCTGTCTCATTGCAGAAAGGCATTTTGATGTAGGAGAATAAAGTACATCTAGCAGATTTACTTTGTAAGATCTTGGTAAAATTTGTTAAAGAAGAAAGAAAAACATGTTCAGAAGGAGAAACTGTAGTCTCAGGCAGACAGAAATGCAGATTAGTTTTGACGAAAGAGGTGAATACTTGAAAAGAATCCGATCTTCAAAGAGGAACATGTAGTACGTTATGTGTATCAACCATGTTTTCCTTTTCTTTTACCTTACAGGTAAGGATAGATGAAAGGGAACACATCTTTAGAGAGAAACACTTTTTCTGTAGCCTTTTTTTTTCCTTCTTAACCTGACAGGTCATATCTGTTTGATGAAAGGAAGTGATATGAAAGACAGAGAGGTGTACACTACTAAAGCCCACTCGTACCTGACCAACAGGTAAATTCAGACCAGGTGCTTGGAGTAAATTAACCAGGTTGCATGTTGATGGCTTACCCTAGATGGCCATGAAGGAAACGTGTGATGTGCACCAGTGTTTACCCTTGGTGTTCTACTAAAGTTAACATGTTTCGATCTCTTTTTTACTTGCAGCCATGACCTTTACCTCGGAGAGCAATGAGGCTACATACAGGAATAACGTGAGAGAAGGCACTCGCATGTTGAAAACTAAACATGGAGAAAATTATATGGTAATTTCAAAGGAAAAAATTAACTTCCTTTAAGAGAAAGGATTTTTGTTGCACAGTGCAAAGTCTTTGTGCTTCAGACATTGCTATAATTCAGAGAAATAGTTTAAACAATACCGATACACTTCCCTCATACAATTTCATAGAAATTTCACAAGTAAAGCTAATAATGATGTTTTTTTTTATGTCAATTTCTGCTTTTCAGTTTAAGACAGTCTAACTATATCCATATCAGTTGCCATCAACTACTATTTTGTCTGACTCCAATAATTTTCATTTACTGTCAAGTTCAATAAAATCGAAGTTCTGATATGGAAGTTGCCATGGCAATAGAACATAAGATATAGTCCAACCCCCCTCATCCCAATTACTCGATCGTTTCACAACAGAGAAGTTGCCAATCAAATGAGAACACTCTGTAACCATAGCCGGGGAACTGTGGTTCCCTAATTCAATCTCTATTGATTTCTTGGATAATTTTTTCCCATCAATGATGAAGTTACTTTTAATATTTTCCAGATCATTAATCTGTCCGACAAGAGACGGGATCTGTCAAAGGAAAATAATCAGGTAAAATAATGTGAAAAATCAATTGGAAGCATTTAATGTTTTATGAGAATATAATATTTTTTGGTTTGTGTATAGTATGATCTGGCCAGAAGTGGGTTCCTTGTCTCAATTGCTCTCCTCATGCAATTCAGATTTTATTTACCAGTAATGGCAGCATAAATTGGACGTTGTTTTCCCTGATGAAATGTTTGGAATAATATGTCCACATTACGCCAGTCATTACTTTCTTTTTCCCAGCTTGGGAATTGAAAGGTTAAATTTGTTTTATGCTTTTTTTCCTTTTCTTATAAGCTCTTGCTGCCTTTGAAAAGAATTTCCTGCTTTGTACCGCAATATTACAGTGGCATTTATCCTGCCCTCAAACCCAGCTTTTAATTGTCTGAAGAACTAAGAAGTACTTAACCTTTCAATATTTGTTGCTTGTGCCTGTTTGTGTGTATTATAAAATTACTTGTTTTTATCCACATAATACAGTATTAATGTAATCCTTCCTGGGGACAACTTTGTTATTTAAAGTATTTTTGCATTTGTCTTTTTGTATGGTGTTGCTGGTGGTAGATCAAAGGGATGAGGGGGGGGGGGATAGTCTTAGCAGTCACATATCATGACCAAAGTATATGTAGGAGAAGGGAGTTAGGAAGACACAGAGGAGATATAACAGGGCTAGGCTGCTGAAGTTGTTTTCACGCTAAAGGAATTATGTCTTGCAGCACCATGTCAAAAGCACAGTAGCTGTTATTATCTTTGAAATTTCTTAACAAAAACGCACAAATGTTGGGAACATTTTTACAAATGGAAGGGGTAAGAGTCTTCCCAGTTCAGTGGTGCTGTATGTAAACCGAAAAGATATTTCCAGCCCTCCACCCTGGTGAAGAATGTAAAATGCCTACATTCTTGTGAACTCTTTTTGTTCAGAGGGTGGAGGGGGCTGAGTTTCCTGTTTAAAACTGTAATCAGACCCAGATCTGCCAATTAAAGAAAAAGAAGCGAAATGTTTCTGCGGTAGTATATTGTAGTTTTGTTTTTCAACTATTGTCATCACAGAACAAGAGGCCATTTCATATGGACTTGAAACTCTGAAAAATTAATAACAGTGTTTTGTTTGTGATAAACTTAAAATTTATAATTATGTTTAAAACAAAGTTGGCTAAAGTTGTGGCTCTTTTTTGGACACTGCCTATGACCTATTTGGGGCCCTTTTAGAAATAAGAGCTGTCCCCAGTCAAGCTGCTAATTGGGGTTCACTGAATGCTTTATACTTTGTCAAAACAAACGTGGCCTGCTTTTGTCAGAGACGTGTCACTGTTAGCAGTTCCTAACTATGTTTTTATTTTCACTGTCCTCAGGTAAAAATAACACCCGAGTCAGGATATCAACATTGCCCAAAGGGTGGAGATAAAAGTGTGATAGTTAACACAATAACTGTGCAGTAAATGGGGATCCATTCTCGTTTACTCTTAGGTTACGGCAAATGTTGATAACTAATTATTTCTTTTTTCACAACTGTTGACTTAGAGGCTTAAGAAAAACAAACGAGCGAGAAATTGGAGATAGTAGTGGGAGATATTTGTGAAAGGAGAGAGTAATATTTTAGTTCCATTGGTGATGGTTAGATATGTGTTAGGGGAGATTTTTCTTTTAGATTTTTGTGTGACTGTATATAGCATTACAAAGTTTTCAATTTATGATATCTTGAATAAATTTTAAGTCCTAACCCTTTGCTGTTGATAAAAGTGTTAAATTTTCCAGTAGTGTTATCAAAGGTAACAATGGACCTGCTTTCTGTATGCATATTTTGGACATATTATTCTGAATTTTGAAAGTCATCAATTGATTTGTTACTTCCTTTAAATTATATCAGTTCTCACAGGCGCCATTTTAATGGAAGCAATTACACTTTCTGAGAAAAGTTATTGATATTGCATGAATTAAATAAGCTTAATGACATCAGAATTTGATTGATGTCATTTGTGGTTACAAGTTCATTGATTACACTTCAGCTGTTTGCACAACTGTTTGAACCATATATATAGACTTGGTTGTCATGCTTTCTTTGCTGTAGAAAACCCACGTTTTGATAGCCACATATGCTTTGAAATAATAGTTTGTTCATTGTTTTAGCAATGAGCTCTAATTGATAAATGTTTGTAAATAAGTAATGTTCTCATTTGTTTGTTTTGCCCATGAAGATGGCTTTTTATTTCGTAAAAATGATGGCTTTATAGATTATTTATAAACCTTCAAAGGAAGATGAAATGTCAGTGAAAAAATTGCAAAAATGTTAAATGAATAGGATTATTTGGTGAACACTGAAAAAAACATAAATTGTACAACTGTTTTTCATTATGTTATTATGTTAAATTGAAGCATTTTGCATTCTAGGTGCTAGACTATGGTTGGCCAGACACCCTGGCTCCTCCATTGGAGCGGCTCTGCAGTATCTGCAAGTCCATAGACTCCTGGCTTTCCTCCGACCTGCGCAATGTCGTGGTCCTCCATTGCAAGGGTGGGGAAAACCGCACAGCAGTCGTGGTGGCTGCATACATGCATTACAGCAATATTTGTGCCAGGTGAGTCTTTAGTACAACACCAACCTCCACCAAGCCATAATTGTTATAGGAAGGTTTGCCTTTAAAAATTTTTTGACCATGATTGTAGAGGCAGGTCGGTGGACAAAGTTTGTCCTATCATATTTTCTGGCCCTTCAGTATAAAGTGAGGGTTGTCCTCTTAAGGTGAAGGGCTGTTACATGACTGAACTAGGTTTGCTATGTAATCGGGGCAAACGAGGTCATTTAAGTATGAACAGAGAGATGAAGAATACAATGTTAGTTTACTGAAATTCAAGGTGGAACAATCAAAGAATCAGATCTCTATTCAGATGGGGCATATGGTTCATAGGGGTCATTGTAATTCAAGAAGAGACCACACAGGTATCTGTGGATACTTCTCTGTCTACAATGTTGTTTGATATGATTAATATAAGGTTCACCAATAAATACATATCAGGTTCTGTGCAAATCTTCCATCAGTGCACCAACACTCAGGCTTCAGTGAAAGACAAGTTTAACATGAGAAATAATAATAGGTTCAGCCTGAGAAACAAAGCTAATTAATGACAGTAGTTGCTTGAGATGAAATTTAAATATAGAAAACCATTTGCAAATGCCAAAAATACATCATATCAACAGAATATTAGTGAGTGGACATAAGTGATAACTGCACCAGTTGCCCATCAGTTCAAAGAAAGAAGTGGAAATAATAATAATAATAATAATAATAATAACAATAATAATAATAATAATAATAATAATAAAAGTGGCTTCTTAATACAATGTACAGTGTTTAGGTGAAAGTTGTGATCCATCTTTGGCATTTTGATAGATGGGGCTGTCAAAGTTAATGTCATATTGATTAATTCAGGTGTCATTCCCCCCACCTTTAAACAATAAAAGATTGTTCTTAGTGTCAAACAAACTTCTTTTATTGGCTCAGGTAGAACATGACACTTTAACTGATTAACTTTTTGGCAGCTCTCAGTACAAGTGTGATATTGAATAATAGTATTATCTTTGTCAGCATTTCCTTTTTACAACAAGGAAAAGTGTGTTTTTACGTCCAACTAGCTTGCCTCATATTTTGACAGTAACAGAAATTTCTCTCTCTCCAATGTTTTTACGTCCAACTAGCTTGCCTCATATTTTGACAGAAACAGAAATTTCTCTCTCTCCAAATTTTATTTAGATGCTGGACAATCATGCTGTGCCTCAATTTTCTATCTTTTGTCCTCTTTTTTTTCTTAAGGATTAAAATTTTTTGACATTTTATGTTCAGTTTAAAAAAAAACTTAAGTTAAAAGAGCACCTTTCTGCCATCGTATGCCCTTTTTGACTTGGGCACTACATTACATTTTAAGCTGATTAAATTTCCGGAGCTGTCACCTAAATTAAAAATAATAAAGATTGAAAATGTCAGTGCTATTGATGTATCTTTGTCATAAAGACACTACTTGTCCCCATATATAAAATGGCACTGTAAAGGTTGTCAACCTTATTGACTAGGGCACTATTTCAGAAATAACATGATTAATGTTATTTTGTGTCTGTCATTTAAAGTTCAGCTTTCATCAGTAGAAGTGTCACTGTTTACAATTGGTCTTTTTCATTAGGGGACAGTTTTTGTCAACAGTATGTCTTTTCTTCTCTTGGCTTTTACCATAATGATTAGGTGCTTTGTAATATTTAGCCTGATGAACTTTTTTCCAGCTGTCGCTAAAAGTTTTGTATTTTAGTCAGTGGAAGTATCACTGTCAACTATTGGCACTTGTCATGAGGGCATTTTTGTCAACATTATAAGAGGAAACTTAGTTTCCTGCTTTATAGGAGGAATGTTTTGAAAAAAATTTCTACTGGCCTCTCAAAACCACTAAGATATTTGAGGAGAAAGGGCCTCAGCATTTGGTTTTGTTTTCTGTTCTAAACAGAAGTTAATTAGTGGTAAATTAGCCACAGTAAAGGAATGTTACAGGGGAAATGATTAGTTCCTATTGAAAATGTCAAAATATAAACCGCATGGTAACCACTGGAACCACTTCCTTTTACCAGGATGTTGTGGAAGAAAATGTCAAAAATGTTTTTGTTGTCAAAATTTCACAAGAGAAAGTGGAATTTTTGGAAAGTTCTTTTTTTTATGCAAAAACTTTTTAGAATCAGATATGACACTCGGTGTTTATGGTGTAAACAAATTGTTTACCTCTGTTTTATCAGACAGTCATATGAAAAATAAAACTACAGATATTTTACATTTCAATTCTTAAGATATTATAAGTTGACAGATAATATTTTGTTTAATAAATGTAATTGAATTTTAACCTTGTCACATTTATTCTGTAACTGTTGAGATATGTGAAAAGATAAATATCTCTAACTTGTCTTTTCAGTGCTGACCAGGCATTAGACAGATATGCTATGAAAAAGTTCTGTGATGACAAAACTTTACACCCATCACAACAGAGGTAGGTATAGAACAGTTTCATGATGAGATTTAGTCAAAATAATAAAGAAAACAAATAGATAAGATAAAAAGCTATAACCAGCAAGTTGAGCTGCTTACTTATGGGAGGGTCAAATAATTTTTGAGTGTATGGCAAAAAGACAAGTCCTTATTGCATTGCTCAACCAAAGATCATACTAGTAAGCAGGACCAACTAACTTAACTAAGATATTGTCCATCTTTTATTGCATTTTCTTGACAGGGAAGAGCATCCATCGTAATATATCTCTCAATTCAAAACCCAACTGCCCATATGTAGTACCAATTCAACCTGGTCAATACCAAATACAGATGACCAATTTCAATGAAAAATCCTCCGCTGTCCCAATTTCCATTATGTTATTATATTCCCAACCAATAGTTATGAGATATCTATAATAACCTATATAGCTGTACCCCCAAAAGACCCTGTTGCAATTGGATGTTATGTTATAGATTTATGGATGAAGCAGAATTGAACAGATGATGGATGATGGGGAGAGATTGTGGAAGATAGTTGTAAGAACCTGTATTGATCAGTCCATTGGTCTGGGAATGAATAGATATCAAACTTTTGAAGATGGGTTCAGAAAATGCTACAAATGCACAAGAGCTTTTGAATTAGCTCTTGTGAATTTGTCAATAGTTAGTCAATTAGATAATGGCAATACTAGTGAATAAATAAATGAATTACATTTGTTTGATCACTGCAAGTTTTTGAAGCTACACAAGCAGGATTATCTTGTATTAGACTGAAAAGATCATCCTTGTTTTTTCATGCAGTGTGAAATGTCAGATGAACAGGAATTATATCAAGTGAAAACATGGCAAACGATGAAGGCAGGTGCATTTTACAAATGCCAGGAAATTAAATGGAATTTCGCATCAATATTCTCCTCAAGGAAATAGAAATTGCCAGTAGATACCATCAATTTGCAATCATTTGTGTGCCATGAATCCTTTATGAGAACCTTTGATACCGCTCAGACATTAGTTAAATTATTCTGTGGTTATTGAAAGTTGCGAGTGGTAATAAAGTTCAGAATGTTCTGTGCAAAAGTTTTAGTAGGCTATAGTGAAAGTATCAACCATATTTGCAATGGAAATAAGTTCACAGTTTATATGTCAGTTAGTGTTTAACCCTGACAGTAATTACAGAAAGCTGCTGCTAATTGAATACTTATGCTTTTTATTTCCCCCAGTTAATTGATTATTCATGAGGATTTTTGTCAACTTTGAATATTTATGGAGACATAAAAATCATTATTAACCTTTAAGAAATAGGAAATGCATGTAGAAAAGAAAATCATTTTGGAATTCTTTTATCATAAGTCTGATAATAGATTTTAAAGTTTTTTGATACAAGTTCTTCCTGAAGATCATCTTGGTCATCTCATCATTTAAACTTTGGTGTACAATAAATATGTTACTGAATTTAAAATTAAGCCTTAGGTTTAAAAAAAAAATGTCTCATTGAGGTAAAGAAAGAGTTTTTTAATGAATTGCAGTTTCTTTGCATAATATAGCACAATAAAAATGCATTTATAACGTGTGTGTGTGTGTGTGTTTGATTTTAAACATGAATACATCTTGTGATAATTTACATTCAGATATGTGGAGTACTTTGCTGGGCTTCTCTCTGGTGCAATAAAGATAAACAGTAGCCCCCTGTACCTCCACCACATGGTCATCCATGGGATTCCCAACTTTGACTCCAGAGGGGGCTGTCGAGCCTTCGTCAAGGTGTACCAAGGGATGACACCCATTTTCACTTCAGGAACATAGTAAGTTGTGTAGAAAGCCATATTTGTTATTTTTATTACATGATCAGTTTGTTTCACATGTATTTGTTCAGGCTGTGAAGTATCAAAACTTCTTGATTTAAATGGCATTAGTTATATATAATAAGTGAAAGACTGTAAATTTGTATCTTTGCATTGATGTACAGAGAAACTTATTCTGCTGTAATGTACCCATTTCTTGTGACAAAGCTTGTAAAAGTTATTTCTCCTCAATTTGTCTTGTAGTGCTGCCAGTGACAGCATGCACAGGTTGTGCATGTCCTTTGACCAAGCCATCCCTCTGCGCGGAGATATACTCATCAAATGTTACCATAAGCAGCCCGGAGACAGCAGACGAGAAACCATCTTCCGCGTGCAGTTCCACACTTGCGCCATCTCCGACTATGGACTTGTGTACAGCAAGGGAGAGCTGGATGATGCCAATCACAGTAAGTATTTGAAAGGGATTTAACCTCGTTTATGCCTGTATGAATTGTGATGTACAACACGAGAGGGGTATAAATTGCATTTTTGTCTTCTTGTAGACAACAAGGTGATGTTTACATCAGTATTTATGCATATACCATCATTTTCAAAGTTGTAGGCAAAGCACATGAAAGAGATTAATCATATTCATAAATTTGTGTATAGTCAGTGGGAGTGTAGGGGAAAAGGTTGGGTACTGAAAAGACAATTATCTTTTAATTCCATACTTACAGCAATAAAAGGAAAATTACAGTAACCATACACTATTCACAGAAAGAAATATTACAGTAACCATACATGTATAGAATAGGGAAATAGAAGTCTTAGGCACTACTTTTATCATCGATTGCTTCAGAAAAACAAATGAAGTCACTGATGCCAACCACTGTTAACTGCAAAAAGACAGCTTAAAGCACATTAGTTGACATGATACTTTGCAGCAAAAGGGACGTTTTCATGGAGTTGTATTCCTGAAAAGAAAGTATTACATTATTATTATCACGTGTACAGTGACTGGAATCGATAGCAATAATACTTAGTTCAGTTAGAGATATCTCCCACAGCCTAAGTGCCTCTGACAAAACACATTATCTGTCTCCTTTACTAACCTTCAGAAATCCATTGATAAATGAATGATGTAATTTCATTCAAGGATAACGATGAAAGTATATCTCACGCTGGGCAAACTCATTACTGTTATAATGTAACATTACATTACCACTGCAAAGGCAGATGGTTTTAACCCAGTTTTTCACTTTCTACCATGTTGGGTTTTTGTAAAATGATTGTGAAGATTAAAGGGTTAAGATGTTTGAGTCCTTTGTGTGTGATTGTGAATTGTTGCCTTGGGACAATATCTGAAAAGCATAATGGCAATGGTTGAATGTTATCAGCACAGGTTGCTTTGTACTTTAAATAATTGATTGTGTAATATTCACAACGGTCAAAATTCTGAAGTTTTTCATTTTACTTAATTTGGTAGTGCACACATGATCATCTGTGTCACAACTCACCCATTTTCATTTTTATCATTACAAAAAGCAAAACTTTTTCAAAGATGTGATATATTTTTGTGTTTCTTACAATATATTGACGGTCACCTGATTGATAAATGGACAGCTAATAACTGACAAGAGACAAGAGAATTGGAAGAGATGTCATTAGTATTGTCATAGCACATGATATAGCATTGTTATTCACATGGTGGGCGAGCACAGTTGTATCAAGACATAAACAGTGTGTTAACATATGAGACATTCCACAATGTTTTTTTCTCTCTGTAACAACTATTTTCCTTCTCAAAACTTCCTGTGGATCCCTTAAATTTCAGCTTTTCCAGGATAAGGGTTAAGATAAAGTCCAACTGCTCATTTCTTACACTTTATCTTTGGTTTAACATTGAAAAGATGAAATAATTTCTTTTGTAAAAAAAATCCAGTGACACTGCCCCTGTGCTTATTGCATAAATTTCTGTCCTTTCTGTTAATATTTACTTCATTGGTGTTTTAAGGTATATTTCTTTAATTTGTTATTTTTCAGATATTAAATTCCCTGATTCAGGTCAGGTGGAATTCATCTTCTCCCCAGGACCAGAGCGGATAAGGGGTAAGTGAAAAAATGTACCTACCCTTTAAAAACTTAGGCTTTTTCAGAGAATTTTGAGTTACATGTAGTACTGTTAGCACATCTTTGTCTTCCTTTTGCTTTATGTTACATCTTACTTGCAATGCAAAAATAAACAAAACACTCACAAAAGGTGTTCACATAAATTTTGGAGGCTCTTGGTAAGTGGCTCTTTTATGGTTGCTTACACATTTTTGCAATATGTTTTACTGTAGCTTTAACATGCAACACAGCAAAAAAGAGGCTCATGCTAATAGTAATGGAGAGTGATATGCTAGGACTTTTTCTGTATCTACTTATATAATGCAGACATAAACATGCTCATGTTATGATGAAATGCTGTTGCATCAAAAATATATTGGAATGAATTTGATAACTTGAGCTGGTAACATAATAGCAACATTTTGGGGGCAAAGAAGACTATAATATCAATTTCAAACAAATCTCACTCACTTCAACTGCTTAAAATGCTTTTTATTGCCTTGTTGATCATGACAAGTAGAATAATCTGGTGCCATGAAATATCAGTAAAGAGGCCAAATAATGTCTTCTGTTGAATGGGAAATTTTAATTAGGGCCTCGTATCTCCTAAACCAATTTTACTTAATTGAAACTGAAAAAAAAGTTGTTTTTAATGTAATGCACTAACCAGTACCCCTTAAACGTTACATTGAAACCCCTCCACCTCCCACCCCCCCACCCCCCCACCCCCGGCCCCCACCCCAAAAAGAAATTATACATATATTTTATGAAAACATTATTCAGCTGCANACCCCCCCACCCCCGGCCCCCCACCCCAAAAAGAAATTATACATATATTTTATGAAGACATTATTCAGCTGCATATTTGACATGACATTTTAAAACCTATATATAAGCTGGGTATGGGTTGGTGAGACTTGCTGGACACTGTTGCTTTTCTTCACCCAAGTTTAGAAAATGGAATGCTCTTTTTTTTCACCAATTTAAGTTGATCACCATTGATTTTATGTTTCAGCCAATGCAGTACTTTTCACAGAAACTAGAGCCCCTGTAGATGAAACAGGAAACCCCATTGTTAGATGGGATTCTTACGAAAACTTTAACAACAAAATGCAGGATGGTAATTTAGCAGGTAAGCAGGGAGTTTAGTTGATATAATTTGTTTTTCATATTTATGTGTTTTCTTTAATGTTTTGATGACAGCAGCTGTAACTGAGTAATATTTAAACATTATTTCTGCTTCATAGTTGGCCATGCTTTTACTTACATAGATGCGTAGAGTTAGAAGTATTCATCCTAGAATTATGTTTTATTAACTTAATAAGCTTAAAACATAAAACTCAATAACTGTAATATCGATCTAAAGCTAGTACAATTCAATGTTGCCTATAATACTTATTAAAAGCAAGTATTAACAGCTGCTACTGTAATGTTGAGCTTCCATTTATTCCTAATCAATTACTTAAACAGCATTTTTGATGAGATTTGTCATTTATGATGTATTGCTATTTTCTCCTAATTATGCTTGCAGTTGGCCTTTTTAAGCTTAAAGAAATGATAGATCTAAAAGGTAACACTAAGAAAATCTCTTCTGATAACATCAAAATGTTCCTTATTTTTACATCTGAACAAGCTTTTAACTCAAATCTTGGAATTTCATATTTCTTTTTTTTTTTTTTTTTTTGTGGTTTTATCTATCTTTCATTCCTAAGACATGCCTTTATTCCAACTTCTTCCCCCTATATTCTGACTTTGGAAAGTAAACCTCGAAGGTGAAAACCTTGGTGTTGTGAACACATTGCATCATATTTTTCTTTTTGCTGGATTATTACTATTTCTAATGCTAAATTTTTTTAAAAAATTTTTACTCCCTTATATTTTGAGCAGCTGAAAAAACATTTGCCTATGTAGGTCAGTTATAGAATGAAATTCAATGCTTTTCTTAATTTCCAAATGTTACGAAATCCTTTTAAATCCAAACTGTCTGACTTTGACCCATTACAAAGAAAACACTGAATAGTCTTATAAAAAATTTAACAATTTGAAATAATTTAATAGTGTGAGCCATTCCCTCCCTTAAATGAATTTAGTTGCATGACACTTATACATCTAAATATTCAAATGTGTATTTCATGGATATTGGAATATGTTGATAATGCTTTTCGTCTAATTTCTCCTGGATGTTGTGTCTTGACTGATTTTTCCTGGTGGTCAGGTGCTTTCCAACATATTACCTGTTTTATGCTTGGCTCTTTTTTTTTTCAACCTAAGGTGCATTCAGTCTTGTACAACCTTAATTTTAGATAAACATCACAAGACAACAAAAATTCTGAACGTGGAATTTTGAATTTTTTGGTTTGGTTTGGGCTCATCTTTGACATATCAAATTGGTATGATTCTGAATGTGTCTTCACAAAAAACATTTTTGTAGGTTGCATGATTGTTCTATTCTTGTTTTTTTTTTTTTTTTTTTCATGATGTCACTTTGAATCTATTTTCAGTGATTAGTATTATTAGTGATAAAAATACTGTCATACATTGAAATGAGGACATTTAAAGAATAAAAAGGTTATGAAATAGTTTAATTTATGTTTATATTCTGTTATGTTCTTTAACTGTATTTTACAGATATCTTACATTGGTATGAGATCATTCCACATACAGTTAAAATTATTTTAAAATTTGATTTCTTACACCATTTGAACTGTTTCCTCTTTTACTTAGCCATCATAAATGCTAGCAACAGCAGCTGCTTTTAAATGTTAAAATCACATGAAATGTCAAATTATCTATCTCATTCCAATAATAAAAATCATCTCAGCTGAATAAGAAAGAAATCAATTTCAGACCATGACGAGAATGCACGTCCTGCATCTATTCGCGTGTCGCATGTGTTCCACGAGGTAGGGCCAGTGGATGGTAGCCTCTACGCGCAGGTGCAGAAAAAGGGCATGACCAATGGAACACCAGCCCCAGTGCAGAATGGTCCACATCATCTTAGTATGGACTCAGGATTCCACTCAAATCCAGGTATAAAATGTAGTCCATCTCTCAAACTCAGGCAACCAACACTTAGGGACATCTGAAGCATTATCTTAACAAGCACAATGGAACTTCTGACTGACTGTCATATCTAGCACACCGAAGACCATGCTTTCACACAATATGCTCCAGTATATTTTTTGGATGGTCTTCAACTCTTATAATTGGATCACCTAAATTGATATGTATACTGGCTCTCATTCCATCAGAGCTTCATCGTCTGTGGTTTATTCTAGGAGATGAGTTGCACTTTATTTTGGCAGACTAATTACTTTTATCTTTGAGGTATCAAGAAAGCTTGGAATGTTTCTTGCTCACACTCAAAGTGCATAAGATTGTCAGAACCATTTATGAAAACATTTGTAGGTGCCTTTAAATTGTAGATAGAAAACCAAACAAACCATGGATGAAACCATGGAGGTTTTAATGGAAGTAAATTATGTTTATAGACATTGATATCTCAGAAACAAAGATGAAATTCCCAGATGTTCCCTCTCTCTCATTTGTTGATTAACATGCCTTAATATATTATAGGTCAAACAATTTTTGTCATGGTAACTCAATCATACAAGATATTTGCAGGTGAAAGAAAAAGCTCTGACACACTGACTTCACTACTATTAATCTAAAAAATCAAATATAGAGTCATGTTCCATAGTAAGTTCAGTATAAACCTTAGAATTTATATACAGAATCCAGAAACTGATGCATGCAGGTTCTGAACCCTTCACCCATGAGACCTTGTATAGCCTACCAGCTCCTGTTTATTTAGTGAAAAAAAGCGTTATTTCCTTGCCTAGTTGATCGGCAGATAATATGGCATCCAGGTATGCCAAGCTGTTCCTTATATGATAGGAACTCAAGGTTACCCAAGCAGACGGCCTTTAAGACCCAATAACTTCAAATTAATCGACATATGCTTGGCTATTACGGTTGATGTTTTCTTAAAAAGGGGTTCATTGGTTTTAAGATGTATTCACTTAGAAGAAAAAAATGGGGTAATTTTATCCCTTAATTCATGAAATGAAATTCTGAGTGTTTCAAAAGGCCAGATCGGTGGTAAATGTCAGAGGAAGTGAAGGTCAAGATTTGATGGTTAGGGTGAACATTGAAGTTACCTATTGGTGGAAGTGTTAAAGGTAAACTGGAGCAGGTTCCAGGCTCACTTCCCACCTTCAATATGGCCAAGGTAAGATGTGTTTGAAGCATATGGATACATGTAACTTCTCATTCTGATTTTAAAAGCTTGTTTCTTAGACAGTAAGTTCTTCAGACATTTATGTTTTTTGACATCTGGAATCCAGCTTTTTATCATTCTATTTTAACGTGATTGGGTAGCTATGTTTATACAGTAGATAAGAGATAAGATTCAACCCAAGGTCTTGACTACTGTTGGTAAAGGTTGGTTGTAAGGGGATAGCCAGGTGTTACAAATGTCTGCCTTATTCGGAGTGCTTTTATGGGGGCAAATATACTTTTAGGCAGAACTGTGGATATGTGTATTTTGTGACATTTCAAATCTCTTTCTAATATTTTATCTAATTTTTGATGAAAAGATGTGACCAATTAACATCTTTAGCAGAATGTTGTGGAAAGGTGATTTTTGATAATTGAACTTAACGCATGGGATACAGGTATATTGTGAATCTACTAGAGCTTAATTTATGGAAAGTTGGACTTATTTTTTTAATTAGATGAACCAGGAAGGTGTGGTTTGAAGAGTTTTTAGTTTGTTCACATAACATCATATAAAAGTATAAGATCCCTATATAAAGAGAAAAGCCCAAGGATATTTAGAAAAGCCAAGTAATTTTTAAGGCAGTTGCAATAACATCAATCATAACAAAAATGCAGAATGTTCAAAGTAAATATTTCTGGTCGCCTTTAGGGGAAAAAAATTAGGCCCATCTTTCTTAGCATCTGATATATGATTTATGCATTAGCACTAAGATTTATGATCCAGTTTGAGATCTTAAGAATATCTGTGTGAAAAAATAATGTGCAGTTATCGTTGTATGTGAATTACAGGGAGCTTGGATGAAAGTTTTTCTCAGTCAGTGTTTTCAGTGTTAAAGTTTGAGTAAATGAGATGAAACAATTTGTGCTCAGCACCAAAGTATTCAAAGAGCAGCATATATCTGTAATGGTACAATGGTGAACTTCAGATTTTTTTTAGCATTTTCAACATTTTTATATTCAGCATACTGTTGCTTTATACCATCTTCTAGGCCATTTAGTAACATGACCTGGAGAGTAATTAAGTACAGTTATAGAATTGTATTTTTGTATATTTCAGGGCATAACTATAGCAACAACATGGTAGTGGCCCAACACACCAACCAGCAGTATACACAGCAGTCCCACCAGACCACCACTAATAACAACAACAACATTGACGAACAGAAACAACTGGATGATATCTTGAGTGAGCTACTGGGAGAGAGTGCCTTGCTGCCCAGTGCACCACAAGTCACCACCACACGGGACGGAAACAACTGGACCACCAGTGAAAGGTCAGTCTCGCAGAGCGAAGATGGGCGATCCAAGAGCATCATGGAGACTTCAAAGACTTTTTCAAATCCTGATCCTTATACTAGAAGTGAGACCACCACTGTGAAGAAAATGTCTTACACAACTTACGACCCATCTGTAGAACATGCTGTTGTAGAGGACCATAGAGGGCGATCTTCTTCCTACACTTATCGACCAATCTCACCACAGCAGAGTTCTATGGTAGAGAGCCGGGTGCGCAGCCCCTCGCCAGTGCGTAGCCCCACGCCTACCAAGACATTTGAAAGTCAGACTTATCGTACCTATGATACTCGCTCCACATCTAGTAGTGAGGAACCAATGTCATGGCTGCAGCAGCAGCAGGCCAAACTCAAAGCGCGACGCGAGGGTCGTGATCTTCTTGACCTAGAGAGAAGGACAGTGCAGGAGAAACAGCTGGTTGCCGAGTTGAAAAATGCACAGAATAGGTACCAGGTCCGTAGGCGTCAGAGTGAATCAGATGAACAAGCAGTCATTGAAAGCTACAGGAAAGCAGAAAAGAGGGAAAATGTTTTTCAGAATGGTCCTGTCTCTCCGCAGCCTGTTAGCCCCAAGTCTGAGCCATGGGTTTATCGCCCACCTGAGAGGTACAGACCACCATCTGCTCCACCTGAGCCATACAGACGACAGATGTCACCAGAGTCAACCTATAAGGCTGAGAAGAGTGTGTTTGTTCAGTCTACCAACCCAGTCTCCTACACAGTTACCATCACTCCTGGAAAGCAGAAACCTCCGCCAATTGGCACCATAGCAACCAAGCCTCCTCGTCCAACATCGCCAAGCATCCCCGCAAGAACCAGCAGTCGTAATGTGATGAGCATGCGCCACTGGCAGTCCCATGGCAAACCACTGCGGCGCCAGGCTTCAGACACCTCACACGACCGTGAGAGACCAATGAAATGGTCCAGTCAAGGTACCCAAACCCCACCCAGCACCCCCCCTCGCACTGCCTCCCCTGCCCCACCAGCAGGGTACAGCACTGCCCAGCACCACTATACCTATACCACCAACATCTACCAGCAGAAAGAGGACAAGAAGGAAGAGGTGGTAGAGGAACCAGTGGCACCAGCCAAGGTGGAACCCAAGTCTGAAGGTATGGGAGCACTGGTTTTACGTTTTATGTTTTTCTTACATTTTTATAAACAGTCTGTTGAACCTAAGGGATTCTTTTGAATTTATATTTTTGTTGATCTTTTTGCACTTTAAATTAATACCTTCATTCTAGTAGAGTTATATGATAGTTAAACACTGATTCAGGCAATAACTATAACCTAGCTTGAGAACTGTTTAATAATCAACATAATATTATAATTTAAACCTATCTACTTTCGTTTAGTGAAGAAAAAAGCTCTTACTGATTGTAGTAACCCTCACCAAGTCTACATTTGGCATGAATCACTCTGAAACCTAAATACTAGAACTTTTCTAATTATTGACATCAAAATTAACATTTGCATTGTTCCTTATAAGTGACATTTTTTAAATGATTTAAGACCACCATTATTAAAACTGAAGTGATTAATAATGCATAGATCTGAAATACTTAACTAAACTGCAAATAGTATAAGCTGTGACTATACAAGATAACACGGTCTGTTTACTTATAAAGTGAGAAGAAACCACTATGGTAATTTTTTTTTTTTTTTAATTTTTTAGTATTTAATGTCATTTTATACAGTTTCTGATGCTATAAATTTTGGATTTATGTTATACCAAAACAATTATTGGTAAAAAGTTGAGTAGAAATGATAAACTCCTCAGAACAGGCATGAAAACTGAATAAACATTAAAAGTAACTGTGTGTGGCTAACCACAATAGAACCCTACAGTAGACATTTTCAGTAGCGCTAGAAACTTTTGCAACATTGATGCTATTTTCAAAGTTGCCAGTTTTATAATTTGCTAATACAGAGCTGTCTTATATAACAGCACTTGTTTATCTTCTAGGTGTTTTTGTTTCTGTTTTTGTTGAATTTTGTGGAGTCTTACATGGCCACCATTTTGATTTATTTTAGAACCCCCACCACTCTCCAAAGAGCAAGCAGAAGGTAACATTGATCCCATCTCCCTGCCACCATAATGCATCATGTTTTTTTAATCTTTGAGCAGACATTTGTGGTAGTTTGTTTTGCTTTTGAATACATAGAGTACAAAATCCAGAGGAAAAAAAGTTATTTTACATTGTATATACTCAACTACTTTACTCTTAGATTTAAAAAGAAAAATAATTTTTGGGCTTGAGCATTATAAATTATGAATTAAAAGCAATAGCAATTCAATGCCCCATGATTGTCTGCAAAAAATGAAATGTGGAACATGGACCAGTTAATACATTAAATTGACTTTATTATTTTGAATAAATATTGTTGGATCAAAACATACAAGTTATTGTTAAATAGGACAAGTGAAAAAGGACAAGATTGTTCATCAAGACGTATGCAAAATTGAGTGACTGGTCCATGTTTCTCTATATGTAGATTTCCATATGGCTGCATGGCATGCTATATGGCATGGTATTTGGAGTATTCTGAAGGTTGTTAATATATTAATTCATAATCGTCTTTAGGCTGAGATGTTTCTCCGATTTTCTGAGGATTGGAATTATGCTGATGCATCTAAATTACTGACATAACTCCATGGCAACCGACAAAAAAAAATATGGCTATTAAATATCTTGACAACCACATATGCAGTAATATTTATATCCTCAGTGCATGCTATTGTAATTCATATACATTATAGACATAAATATGGAATGATTTATTTATATGTAGAACTTAATATGGTAACAACCATAGACCATAGTAGTTATAAACATGTATTAATAAATATGGTGTTAGCATGAATAGCCCTTATATAGTTACATTGTAGCTCCATTAACATGTCTGCCTAGCAGTAATTTTTCTTGTAATTTGACTCTGAGAAAATTATTTTTAATGTATTAGTTTATGTTGAACTCATTAGCAAATTAATTGAATTGTCTGTAGAACACATTGATTTTGGAATGTTTTGGCCATGATGATGAAAATACTGCTCACAGGCTTAATTTCCACTTCCTTTTCTCATTTTACTTTATCTCATTTGAGATACATTCAATTTTTTTAATTCTCCACAATTCTTGTTTTATGTTTCCCGTAACTTGTTACAATCAACCATTAGATTTTTCTATTGTTTGGTCTTAAGAAAGATTCCATTGATATCAAATGCTGTAACTGATATGTTAGAAGTCACTAAAGCCATTGGATAAAGAACAATGTATCTTGTGTTCATTTTCATTCACTTTTAAATTGGCATGATAAGGTGAATACAGGTGAAAATTATGATGCTTGACTGCCCCTGAATAGAAGTGAGAAAAGAAAAATATCAAAAAAAAAAAAAAAAAAAAAAAAAAAAGACGAATGAAACAAATTGATAAAACCCAGCCATTAGCACACCCTAAATGCTAAATGTTTCATTGATTATGATTGATGTTGTAATTGATGTGAAGTTACATGTTTTGGAACCCATTGCTTATGTGTATGTTCAGTGTTGTTACTTTTTTTTGTTTTTATGCAGATGTATTGTTTTATGCACTTTGTTTTAAAGGGAGAAATGGTCTATGTTACAGGGGCTTATATTTTATTTGTTACGGTGTTGCTTATTAGTCAATGGTCACATTCATGTTTTGTTTTTTAATTTGGTGGCTGTTCTTTATTATTATCAGTATGTCCTTATAGGATTTGGGTGTTGCTACAATATTTGCATAACAGCACCACATGGTTTAGTACATTGTATTGGCAGTTGCTTTGATGTTTTATTTGCTATCAGTAACTTGAGCACATGATATCACAACTTGATAGACTCAACATTTGATGTTTGGGAAGGCTTGGGCAACCCCTTCACATATAGTAACATTTCTGTGCAAGTGTTAAGTTATCGGGCTGCAGTGCTAAGCAGACGCAAGCTTGCATCCATGGCTGCCATTTTGTTGGAACTGGAATACACAGAGGGAGTGTTCAAATGTAATATTTTTTGAAAATATACAGAGGGAAGTTTTTTTTTTTCTCTACGATTTGTTAAAGTTGAAGATATTTTACATTTAAGGATCATGTTCCAGTATATTGCTCAGCGAGGTAAAACATATTGAAAATTAAGAGTCTTTTTATGTAAAAAGCTCTAACATGAAATATTGCAATTTGGAAAACACAACTGACATCTTTTTGTTTTGATCAAAAGAGGTTAGGATAATAACATAGCTGTAATGTAATGCTACCAGTGGAAATTTTAGATCATCATCCAACTCTTTTTCTGCTCGTTCATATTTTGTTATACAGCATGTTGCTGGTAGGCACTGGGTATTATAACACACTCCTCTCTGTGTATTCACACCCCTTGAAAGCACACTGACAGCTTTGCATGAATGTGGATCCCTCATGTGATAGCATACTCTGTTGTATTCCTATGCAGCTATTAAAAAGCGTCTTGATGAACTGGAGAAGAGATTGACGGACTCGGCCTCTCCGCCACCCGAACAGCCTGTCCAAGACTTTAATACCTGGCAGACCAGTAGGACATTTGAGTACAAGGTGAGACAAAGTTGACTTTTTTGAAAATAACAAGTTATTATAAGTCATTACTTGAAGATTCTCAGCCTGGATGACTGAATTAACTCCAGGTTTACAATACTGTATAGTTATGTAGTCATTAAATATTATTTCTATGTTATCAATTTAGTGGAAAGGCACTTTATTAAAAAAAAAAAACTGAACAAGTTTGATTATCAGTTTTAAAGAATCAAACTTGAAAATTTATCTCATTATAAATATTAGTGAAAGGAAAATAATGGAATAAAGTAAAAGAATTAAGGCATACCTGTATTCTGGAAGCATGTGATATTTGACAAAATTGACTTTTTTTACTTGACGCCCTTACAACAAGGCACATTTTGTAGGGATTCATAGGCTGCTAGTTTATCTCATGTCTCAAAATCGAAAAAAAAAAAAGATCTAATGATAGGAAAAGAAATGGTGTTATGTGTTATCTGGCCATTGTCCATGGCCTTAAATTTAAGCATTTTTTATTTTGTTGTGTTTGAATTAAAAAAAAAAGTCTAGGACTCTTGAGGCAAAAGATTACATTGTATTCAGCGTAGGATAATGTGAATAGAAAGAGCTTGATCACTTGTAACATTTTCATCTGGACAGGAAGAGATTGATGTCCTTGCTGGGTGTTCTATTCTGCACTATTCATTAATTTCATACAAAGCCTTCATGGCCCAAAGAGGACAGGATATTGGAGTGTGATGGATGTGTGTCCCCTACAATTTGTGCTCCTGTAGGAAAGAGCTGTAAAGTTTACTCTGGATATTTTTTTTTATCAGTAGATGTTTGGGTTACATGTACAGTATTTCTCCTTTTTCAATTTGGCAGTAATTTGAATATTTGAATTGAATGACACATCATGAATTTTTTGTTAAGATTGCACAAAAACATTTTGGAGAGCCTATTTTCTTTGCAGTAGCAGAAATGAACTGAGTGGAACTATCAGGAACCAAAATGAACTCTTGTAAACACTCAAACACTGTTGAAACCCCCAGTTGTGAGCACTTATATTTTTAAAACTTGATTGGTAACGTGCTGTTTTTCTTTTGCAGCCAAAGAAAGAAGTGCGTCCCAAGTCAGATCTGGAGGAGGACATGATCTCACTGCGCCCAATAGGCCCAGGACTACAGCCAGTGGAGCCAGACAGACCCCCCAGCAGACCCTCAACACCTGCTGGCTTTGTGGCCTCTCCAGTGGGAGGTAGGTGGAACAGCCATTGGAAAAAATCATAAAAATAATAAAATAAAATAAAAATAATAATCCACAGTTGTATTGGGGAATTCCCTTGGAAGTTCATTGTTGGTGCCGATTTGTAAATTATAAAATGATTGTACCCTGATGATAATATTTTAGAGTGCATTTTTTTTTTTTTTTTGCATGGTTTTTAATTCATTACATTGAGTTAAATATTGTTGCATACAAAAATATGTCTGTAGGTGTATTTATATGTTCAATAAAAATTGCATATTAGGTGATTTTTACTTGGAACAAATCATGTAGACTAGTTTTTGCCAGTAATTAGTTTGTTTGATGTTTTAAGTAGTTGTGGATGAGCTGTAGAACAGCATGTTCTTGTCAGAAGAAACACCATTTATTTACGAGCTAGCAATCTATGTAGCAATTATGATTATGAACCAGCAACAGCATGTCTTAAGTATTAGACAACTCAACTTGTGCGACATTGTTTTTAGTATTATTTTATTTTGAGAGATATTAGATTTGAGTTTTATTTTCATTTTCTTAGCTACCCCACCCTTCCCAGTATCCCCACAGACTCCATACCAGAATACAGGTAAATATTGGGCCACTGTCACTATATGTCAGATTCAGTTCATGTCACTTATTGCTTCTTATTGCCTTGACTTCATCACTTTCACTTTCTTTTTTGTGAAACCTTCACTTTATTTCTCCAACATATTACATTCATGACACTTTCATGTCACTTTCATTTTATATTTCTTTCACATAAGTCCTTATTTCTTTCAGTTTTATTTGACCTCACTTTGTTTTCTGATTGAGTCATTTCATTTTAATGAACTTGTATTTCTCCCTGCCCTTTTCACTTCTGATCATGTGTTTTGCTTAATATCGTGAGCATTTTGTTTTAGTGCATGGCTGTTTTAGTAACTAATACATATTGTAGAGCAGATTTATTTGGCATTGGTTAGGTTGTTATAGCAATATTATTGTGAACAAATTTTTCATTTGAAATGATTGGTACAAATTATTCTCCATGTGAGAAAACAAATAGCATGGTACCAAGTGCTGCACTTTGATATAATCTAACAGTTCTGCCCAGAAAGGGGTACAAAAAAAAAGCTACCTTACTAGCAGGCTCCAGATATTGGCACAACATAATAGGTTTCTGAATCATACATTTTCAAACTAAAAATTGATTTAATGAACCAAATAGGAAACTAAAGGAAAACACATCTCAGACAACTTGCTTGTATACGACATTTGCTCTCTGTTGTATGGTCTTATCTTTTTATGATGCTTGAAGTGCATGCATTATATAGTTCTGGTATTTGCTACTGTATTGCTTGCATGGATGAGGTAGAATGTTATGTTTGAGGCTTTGGCAAATAGCAAAGGTTATGGTTTATTATGTTCACATGAATCATGGCTGTTTTTATTGCTTCATAGAACCAGCTCTGTCTTAGAGAATATGTATGACCTTTCTGTTTGGAATTAAGTAGAACATAAAGAAGAAGGGCAATTAAGAACTTCTGAAAACAAAAAACTAGATAAGCATGCTGTTTTTGAATAAAAAAAGGAAAGAAAACACTGCTTGAAGTAGGAGTGAAACTTTGCAAATCTACACTATAAAATGAAAGAAAAAACAATAATTACCAGGTCAAACTTTTTTAATTTGATGAAAACATGATTGGTTACATTTTTTTCTTTGGTTTTAATAAAAAAAGAAGTCAATCTTATTTTTTATTTGTATGATGAATGAAGAAAGGATCTATTATGTTACATATCTTCCTTAATGTCATGTTTTGTTTGGTAATGTTAGTGTTTTTTGTCTTATATAAATTACGCACAATCTCAAAATTACAAATCCACAGTGAAGATTGAGGAATGCTTCACAGAAGTTTAAAAATTCATGTTTAGATTTTTTTAAAGCTTAATGGAATATTATGATTAGATTAAAATGAGTCGGTAATTTTCTGCAGCAGATTTTTCTTTTTTTATTTTATTTTATTTTTATTATTTGATTAATTTTTTTTATTTTTAAGAACTTTCATTAGAAAAATAGAGGATGTTTAGATAAATCATTTTTGGTGTAATATATTCAAAAGAGGCATTTTTAATTTATGAGAGAAAATGTGTTTTGGTTTTATGAAAATGTCAGTAACTTAAATGTTTTAAAAAACATGTCATTGCTTATGCTTTTTACCATTTTTTTGTCCATGTCATTTTGTGCTACAGTGAAAAGGGAAAGCAGAATTTCTATTTTGTGAAAATCACACTTATCATAACAAGGAACTCGTTATCACAAGGAAGGAAAGTTGGAGAGTTCTAATTTAAAACCAGAAACAGTTATTATCAAAATGATTGCTTGTATATAATCCAAAAGAATGTTCATAAAAAATAAGGATATAGAAAACAATCCACTGCTTTTCATTTTGTATGCTTCCCTTGACACATTGTTGCTTTTAATGTTTATGGTATTGTTATTGTTTACATAACTGTATTGTATATGTTTTGTGCATTTATTGCCATAATATGATATATGTTTATGGATTGGGTTTTGCTTCAATTGTATTGCTTGATGGCACTGTTTTTTGTCTCTTTTTTTCTCTTTCCTGCTTTGCCGTATATCTAGTGGGCGGTGTGTATACCAGGTCACCATCTTATCAGTTCCGTTATAACACCATCACCACTCCTCCCCACAACACTGGGCACGTACCGGTCATTCCGGTCACTCCACCAGTCACTCACATGGTCCATAGAGGGCGCCAAAGACATGTGTCTGATCCGCTTTATGCAACAATCCCTGATGACGTGTTCAGCTATCCAGGTAGTTTGCCTTGGTATTTTGGGGCAGTTGCGATAAAGATGAGAGGGGGCTTTAAACAGGCATTCCCATTGTTCTTCATTCAGAGATTATTTATAATATGGTGCTTGCTATGGGTATTTTATCAGAAACTTTTATAGGTATTATGGTGCTATTATTATAATGAACTCATAAATTCTGCATGCCATGGGGTTTTGTTAAGTGTTCTCATTAAAAAAAATTTTATTGAGGTTTAACTAATAATGGAGTTGCTGTCAGAAGTACTTGAACATGATCATGTTTGTTACCTCTCTTCTGCCAACCACTTTCCAATATTTTCATTGTGCTTAGCATTTAGCATTTGACAGGTGTTGAGTTTTATTTCTGCCTTGTTTTGAAATTTATTTCACACTCACTACACTAAATTATCTGAGTTTTGATTTGAAAACACTGCTAAATGTGTTACTATAATATTGATTGAAAACAGAGTGTATCTTTTCTTTTTGTGATGTTTAAATCTTCAATTATTTATTTATTTTGACAAAGGCAAACAAGGATTATGCTTTTGCTGAATCTTCATGCAGAATCCATTTACTTTTACATGTACTTATGCTGTTTCAGTGAGCCCAGTGCCTCCACAGCAGACATTTACAAAGAAGGAGGTACGTAAGGTGCAACATCAGTACCAGTTCCAAAATGGCATGCCTCCAGGTGGACCCCCAATGGGAGGTCCAGTGCCTCCTATGCTAAAGGGTCCAGATGATGTTGATCACATCAGCCTTAACCAAATCAACATGGCAGAAGTTGGGAGTAGCAACCACTCGCCAACATCGGTGAGTCAAATCCACCAGCTGGCACCACCATCACCCTCTCCAGCACCGTTCCCCACTGGAACCCAGCAACGGTACCAATATGAATATCATACTAATAACCGCTCTCAGGGTGGCCAGAGTCCTCAGCCTGTGTCACCTTTCCCAATGGGGCAAACCACCATGCAAAGACAGGAGTATCACACAGCTAACCGGTCCTTCAGTAGTGGGGGTGGTGTGAGTCCTCAACCCTTTCCCACTGGACAAAACACCATGCAGCGCCAGGAGTACCAGTCCGCGTTTGCCAATTCGCCACAGCCTGTGGTCACTTTTCCCCCATCAGCACAGAACACAATACAGCGACATGAGTTTCATAGTTCTCAGCAGGGCTTCAATCAGCAACCACAACAGCAGCCTCCCTCCCCAGCACCTGGGTCCTTCCCCACTATAAACAGACAGGGTGATATACAGTTACAGGTTCACCATCAACAGCAGATGTCGCCAGTACAGCAACAACAACAGCAACAGTTTCAGCAGCAGCAGCAACAGCAGTTTCATACTGAGCGCAGACAACAGTACCACACAGAGAACAGAAGTTTTCACCAAGGAGGTCAGGAGAACGGAATGAATACCATGCCACCTGGTGGACTGCTGCAAGTTGACACCAGGCAGCAGCACATGTCCTCCACCATGCCAAGAAGTGCCTCTGCCATGAGTGGAAGGTGAGCTCTTTATAGGTTTTAAAGGAAAAATAACATTATGCTTTTTAAAATTTTGAGAAACTAAAGTGAAAAGATTATTTTTATTTAAATTGGTAGAGCATGGAATAAGAATTAATGAAATAACTTCTTTTATTCACAGTCAATTTTCTGGTCATGAAAGCGGCATGAATACCATGAGCAGTGCACACAGTCAAATACAAGGAGGAAGGTAAGACTGGGCAAGCAATTAACAGTGAATTATTATGTTGAAAGACAACTACAGCAAAAACAGATACAATAATTAAGTGTTTAGTCTTTTGCCCCCCTGCCCCACCTCCAGGCCTCAATACCCCTTTGAAAATTGGTATAGCCAATATTGTTATCTGGTCTTGAATTTTTTTTTTTTTTCAGTCAATTCTCTGCTCATGAAAGTGGCATGAACACCATGAACAGTCACAGTAGTCAGATGCATGGAGGTGGCACAATGAGGAGTGGGATGTCCACAAGTCAGTCTGGATACAACATGTCTCCACCCATAGGCCAGAGCTCTCCCAACACACCCAGTGTCTACACAGGCTTCTCACGTAGGGGAAGTTTATCATCCAATGCTTCAGGTGAGAAAAAAAAAACACAATGGTTGTGATTAGTATATGGTCAGTTGAATAGAATGAAGAATGCTTATGTTTTCAATTAAGGACCTTGTATACAGGGTTTCAAATCAGGACAATGGTTTATACAGCTAAGGGATGTGGAAAGAGATAACTATGGGTCACATTTATCCCAATTTTTGTTATGTTTTTGAATTTTTATAGAGTCAGCTAATACTAGGCATGGATTCTTTGCTTTGTATAAAAATGCCAAAAAGCAAAAAAAAATGTCATATTGATAACTGCAATAAAGTTACAAAGGCAGGCATGGTTGGAATTTTAAATGTGAACTTTGAAATTGAAGAAGTGTATTTACATTGTTTTGGTACTCACCTCTGGCTAAATAACTGCCTTTATAGTTCACTGCACAAGAGGGGTTCAGAGCCATGGGTCAGGAGTCGGCAGTGAAGGGGCATGTTTTACTTTGAGCAATATATAGTTATGGAATGCATGGCATTATTAGACACTTTGTAACATATTTAAGTGACATGGGGACACGGGATAAGGCATGGTCTGCAATAAGTACTGGTATGTCAGAAGAATTTAGTCAAACAGTTTGTTTAATTTACATGAACATATACAGAATAAAGATTGTTTCTGTTCTCTTTTGAAAAATCTTATTGTATTGTTCATGAGGGTTTGAGCGACCTTGTGCTCAAATGACAAGGGTAGGATAGCACAGTTGGGAGATTTGACAACTTTTGTCAGTGCAGAATTAATAATAACAGTGGTTTTTCCAAGAGGCTGCCATTTTAAAGACAATATATTTGATGCGACCAAGGAAGTAACACATTTGCAGGGCAGAATGAAGCATCAAAATCATGAAATAAATCATGGAATATAGACAGCGAAAAACTTCAGGCAAAAGATACAGGAAATGCTTCCAGAGTTCTAACATCCCAGGCAACACATTTCTCACAACCAGCTAAGCACAGCTGTCACAATCTGATGCCCTGAAGATTATAAATATCTTGCCCGGCACTGCAGAGGTTATGTAGTCTATGGTGAGAAAGAGAGAGTCTGTGTAGGCAGACAGAAGGAAATACTCCTGGTGTTACAGAATCCTGTATAGTGTTTGAAGCTATGGGGAATTTCTCCTCTACACAGGATATGCCAGCGTTATAAACAGGGATGATTTAGAAGACACATCTGATGGGATGTTTTGAATTAGAATATATATTGCAGAGATTAACATGTGAGTACTTTGGTGAACAAACTTATAAAGAATACCACTGTAGATGGAAATAATGTTTTTGGGTTTTAGTTTTCACTTTGCATAAGGAAATTTGAAGGCTGTTTGACTTGATGATGGTAGTCATAGATACATCAGTTACTTATCGCTATTTTCTATATGGGGTCACTGTATGTTGCTGTAGATTATTGTTATGCTTTTACGTTTTGAACTGTTCATGCTGTGACATGGGTCATTGTGATAGGATTTTTTGTTATGGCAAAGTTGGAATATTATACATCATATAATTTACAACATAAGAGTGTTGAAATGCCAGAATCGAAATGCAATCTTGATGTTGCAAAATAATTTGGAAATATGAGAGTAAATCAAGAACAAAGTAAGGTCTTATTTTGGCATTGGATTTTGAAAAAATAATTTCCAAAAAAGTAATTATAATTTAAGGAATAAAGAGGCATTTAGCATTTGAAATACTTGAAGGGTCACAAAATAAAAGAGCACTGAGAAGTTGTTTATGTGAAATTGTTTTATCTTTAAATTTCAAGAAATCCCAGAGGAGGTTTTGTAAACAAGATTCCTGGTTACAAAGAGAGACATACAATACCCACAATCTCAATGTTTTTCAGTCGCTTCCAGGGTTTTTTTTTTTTTTTTTTTTTTCATTTAATGAGTTAACCAGCTACACAGGAGCTCACCCTTCCTGCAACAAGCAACACTGCAGCTTAATTGTTTTAACAAGCTGTTCAAAAAGAAATGCTGAAATGTAGTAGTATAGTAATTCTAGAGCACTTTACTCTAAGTGCTTGTTATTTTGAGTTTTTTTAAAGGTTCATTCATTTACCACTGTCAAAGTGTATCGATCATGGGTTTAATAATGATGGTAATAAAACTGTCTTATAGTCCCATTACTTCTGAACAGTTTGTACTTTTATGACCTTTTATAGTTAAAAAGACATTTGAAACTGATTTTTACTGATAAAATAAAGTATACGTTTTCACTGTGAAAGCCATCAAGATAGTTGATATAAAGCAGCAGGCATAAAAGGCTCAAGTTTTGTTTTAATTTATAGGTATTGAATGTGCAAATGTAGTAAATGGATGTTTCTTTAGTTTATGGAAGGGTGTATATAGACTGTAATTTGTTTCTGTAAGTTCTGCTTAAAGTCATTAAGATTTGTTTATCTGGCTTTTATCCCATTAAAACCAATTAATGATGATATTGACTTGCAGTTTGTGTGCTTATTGTGAGAGGGTAAATACAGTACTGTAGCTATTATAAAGGCAACAATTCCGAATTTTGCACCTCACACATTCACATTTTTAATTTTAAAAGCACATTCACATTCATGGATGTTGATGAAGCTGTCCTGTGTGAGAATGTAACAGGAAGATAGATTAATTGTAATAAAAAACATTGTCCATTACAAAAAGCTGTTACAGTATAAAATGTTGACTTGTTCCCCTGGGCCTAGCCACTCTGTGGGAGAGAGTACCAGTTAAATAGGTCATGAGTAATAAATCACCCACAATGCTTTTATAATAGAGTCAAGGCCTGAGGGTATATGTATATATTTGCGACAAGATTGATAGTGAAATCCAACACAGTCCAGATTTGCAGGCCAGATAAATGCTGAAATGGTTAAAAGGCCACAGATGTTATCAACTTACTACATAGTTTAACATGTGGTTGGTGAGGTCATAATCATTGTAACCTTAATAGTGACCAGCTGCAGTGGACAGTGACCAGCTTGAATTGTAGGCATTGGCTGGAGTAATCAGTGTGGAGGAAGGAGTAGCCACCAAGTTGGATGTACACCTAAGTTCTGTGCAACACACAGTGGAGGGGTAGCACTGGACCCTGGCTTTCTAAAAGTTAGGATTGTGTAGATACTTTGATGTGGATTGCACTGAGGTTCTGAGTGTGGGACAAGTGGACATTAGAGTGGACAGTACACAAAAATGCTGGCCGACCAGTGGACGGAGTTACTGGCCCATGCGGGGTCAACTTCACCAAGAGGTTAGGAAGAATTGGGACATGGTCTTGGGTGGATGAATACACAGAGAGAGTGAGCCTCCTAGGACATGTGTGGTTGAGGGTGGATGAATAGAGAGAGAGTGAAATCAGATAACAGAATGAACAGTTCATTGTCAACTTTTGACAGAGGCCTTTTTGTTCCTGAGTAGTGGGTAGTTTGTGGTCAGAATGTTGCAGGTAAAAATTAGTACTTGATGCTCTTGAGTTAATTTGTATAGGGTGTTTTATGGATATGATCAGTGTCTTTATTCTGTTTGGTTTGGGTCAGATTGCTAGTTGTTATCACATCAAGTAGCTCTCCTGATAATGAAGCTGCAGCAACCTGAATAAATTCAGATTCTCTCATGTCGTCCACTCCATCAGAAGAAGAGAGGTGGTGTGTGTTAGAGTGCAGAAAAGGCTCATTTTGATTTCTGCATATTTTAGTGCTCAATACTGACCCTATTCCTGATGCTCATTGGTCAGTTGTTCACAGGTAGAAATATTTCTTTAGGTGTCAGGTGACTAGAATGACTTGTTAGTTAATAAACAACCTTTTAAGATTGAGGTTTGGACCAAATACAGGTAGGAGATGCTTTTCTGCATTTTTATCAGTCCAAGCAAAAAATGGCGTTGTTGACATTGCAAGAAGGTGAGTTTGCAATGACTGCTGATTGAACTGTTGAGTAATCAGCAGTGCAATGAACTATGGAATGTAGCATATTTTGTGCCTTTGAGTTGGTAAAAAAATCCCAGTGGAGGTAAAAAAAAAACCTTTGTCATACTATGTTGAAAAAGTATGCTTTTATGCTAAGATTTGTTTAGGCCGGATGTGCAGTGCTAATAGTGGTTTGATAAGAATCTTGATTGGGAAATTTAAAATATGTTATCATAAGAGTGATAGGCATAAATGTAAGTTGGGTAAACATTTTTTATTCACTATAAAGATGGATGTGCATTGTACTAACTGAACTACTTACAAAAGTTACAGAAAAACTCTGTCAAAAAGTGGTGAAAAGGTGCTCCAGAGGAAAATCGTGTGTAAAAAAAAATAAATAAAAGACCAGCTAGCCAATTTCTCAGACACTCACAAATTAGAAATGATAAATTAAAAAATCCTATGAAGTTGGAATTCTGTTGAGATCAAGTGCTATAAATAAATGATTGGACTCAATACCCCTCTTCTTTCCCACCTTCCTGTATTTCACATACAGCATTCCATATCAGGTACATATATGTAGCGAGCAATTAACAAGGCCATAGACCATGTTAACCACAGGCAGACTATGCCAGGTATGGTATGCAGCATTCTGGTGACTAGGTTTATATAGATGTTATACAACAATACATACTTTTAGTTATAAATGAACAGTATGACAATAATACTAGCAAGTTGGTTACCTAGGGATTGGATGGGGGTAGGGGCTAATATCTTTTATGACAAATAAGCAAGCTGTGCTTTTATATTAATTATATAAACAATATTTCAAATAGGAAAAAAATAATCAAATTTCAAATTTCACAAATGAATTTTTAGGTGAAATATGCTCGATCTCAGGTAAAGCTACCTGCTGAACTGGCTCTCTTCATTTGTACCTTTAAAGGTACATGTATGTGATTGTTATGTATGTGATAGTGTTTGACAGTGAATGCAGAGTCATGTGTTAATACTAGTGTACTCATTAAGAATAAGAGTCTTTGTATTGTAAGTGGAAGTACTGGTACATCAATACCCCACCTGACACATACCTGAAGTGACATCAGGGGGATTGACACATCTCTTAATGGCTCCTGTCTCCCTTGTTGACCATTTTCTCTTGTGATTTAACTTTGGTGTTATTGTCATGAAATGCATTCTCTACAATCAGAAGTGCTTGTGATTCACATGTGGAAAGCATATGACATAGTTGACATCACACCTATGTACATAAAAATCATGTCTTTAGTTTTCATTTGAAGGAGTAACCAGACCTGATATATTGGGACAATTTTACATAGACAGTTTATAAAGCAGGATGCCATTTACATGTTTCATTTGGTATTTACTGATTTGTTATTTTTATATAAATAATGGATTTTTTTGTATTGTGTTTTCCATTCATAAAACATCAGTTTCTGGCATATTCCTTGTGAAGTTGTGACATTGGTTTTTGTGTAATATGTTGATTTTTACAATTTTTACAATTTTATCATTTTTTCCAGAAAATGTATTTGACACAATGCATCACACACCAAAGTTTGTAAGGGATACTTCCAAGTTTTGGTACAAGCCCCACATTTCAAGGGAAGACGGTGAGTGATATCTTTGTATTAAGAAAAATTCCTCTGTGTTATAGTGTACTACCTAGCCTTGAAATCTTTCTTGAAATCTGTAACAAGGGGCCTGTTGTAATAATGCTAATTAACTGTTGACTGTGTTTATATAGCATATATGTTTTGTATTGTGTGCATTCTGTATTGTCTGTCGCAGTCTGCTCAGCTGTGTTAATTATTTATGTAATTCGAACAATATTTAATTTTATGACCCCCAAAAATGTTGTGTTTAAAATTCACTTTAAAAGATGTTTTGAATATTCTGAAAGATTAGTTTGGTTCTCACAGAAAGGAGAGCATATTTTTGTAAATATTGATATGGTAGATCTGGAAAAATTAGTATGTGAGCAGCTTTTGAAAGATTCTGAGTAATTTTATTGTTTTTCATTTTATGCTGTCTGGGTTTTGTTGAGCTCTTTATTGTTTTGCCAAAACAATTGTTCATGGACAAATACAAAATAGTCCTGTGTTTATCTCAGATGATCCTTCAAAGAGAATGTCTGACTTGTTAAAGTAGTTGCCAGAGGAAATAAGCTGCCAGTTTACCAAGTGAATCGGGAATAAAGTTGATGTATCGTTGCAAAGAGTGGATTCAAGTTACATTGTTGATTTCCTGCTGACTCACTGCTGTTTTTAAAATACCCGCCCATTTACAGAAAACTGTCTCACCCAATATTCATTTGATAATCTTCATTTGAAGGATCATTTCCCCCTTCAGGTAAATAACATCAAAGTGTTTTTTAAATAAAAAAGGATATAATTCAGTGGAAATTGGGGTTTGCAATTTGCGAGTCATTTTCAAAAAATGTTTGCAGATCCAGGGCAGCACACAGGGTTACAGTGGGGGAAATTGTCACATGTTGTGAGACTATAATTATTTCCACTGCAGTATCTCCATACTACAAAAAACAATTAAGATTAATTTATTTGAAATAGGATTACAATTTATATGAGTCATTTATAGAAAATGCAATATTATGAAGGATAAAGTATCCCATTAGTGGATGAAATTGGGTAGGGTATGGTAGAAGCTCTCTGTTATTTTGTTCCACAGTGGTCTTTTGCACTTGTATAATCACTGCAATGTGGGAGGTTTATTTTAGTAAAACTATACACATATTCTAGAGGGTGGTATAGTATAAAGCTCTTTAATTTCTTCTCAGTCTCAGTGGGTAGCTATTTTAAGAACAACAGGTGTGGGCTGATAGTTTTAAGCAGCTGTGTTGGAATAGGGTTGAGACTGTGAACTATTATTTTGACATTAGGGAATTACAAATGTTTACCTCCTTGTGCAACATTACAAACAATAAATGAGATGTTTTAATGGTAGTTTCAAAATATCCAACTAGGAGTGCCACCTGGTGGTAAATGCTGGTAAATTTAGGTGATGTGAGGTGCCTGAAATTTTTGAAGTGCATCAACAACTATTAAGGAAATATTTGCCCGGCTAAAATTCATGACATGTTAAAATTGAAAAGGGGGAGATATTTTAAAGAAAAGTATTGTGTAATTATTCTTACGTTTGAAATTTTTTCTTTCAGCCATCAACCTGTTGAAGGACAAACCCCCTGGCACTTTCGTAGTTCGTGATAGTAATTCTTTTCCCGGAGCTTTTGGCTTAGCAGTCAAGGTTGCCCAGCTACCTCCAAATGTACAGGCAAAGACAGGTATGTATGGGAGAGTATTTGCTGGGGCGGGGCGGGGGGGGGGGGGGGGGAGACTAACTACCTAAAAATGCAAGGAGGATGCTTTCAAGTTTGAGGTGTACAGAATTGAAGGTTATTAAGGATAATTTTCTCTTTTTATACTTGTATAATTTTTTAATGCATGCATTTGTTAAACATGCAGGATGCAGGAATTGTTTAATTAAAAACCTTTGTAGAGAAGAAGCCCATATGATGGAGTTTTCAGTAATTTATAGTCTCAAGATATTTTTATTCAGTCATGAGTGGTTTGTCCCATTTAATATATTGTAGACATTTTGCTGACCGACTTAATTTATTTTATCAGGTTGGCTCCTCATTTATCATAAATCTCTGTTATTAAAAATATCTCTGTAGTGACGTTCAGGAAATTACTGAGTTTCAGGCCTAGATAAAGTTGGTACAAGCTGTAATTTGAACCGTGGCCAAAGCCATATCATTTTATCAATAGACAAGGAAATAGCCAGATGGTTTCTGCAATGGATATTGCCTAGTTAAATGCCAGTGACTTTTTGTGATAAATGTATCTTAAATGTCCTTGTATACCATCAGTTGCAGTAGACATAGCCATTTGTGTCAATGTTTAGTTACCTTAGGAAACTTTCAGCAGAGTATTTATGAAGCAAAGAACATAATTTTTTTAAAGAAATGTTTAGCCAGACCTGGTGCCTGTAATTTCAAAGGTGTTGGGAGTGGGAGTGTCTTTTTACACTTGGTCTCACCCAACTTGAGAAAAAACGTAGGACCTCAAATTTAATTTTACAGTTGACCCCTTTAGACCTTTTTCTGAACCCCCCTCCTATCCCCAGTCTGCAATTCTGTGTCCCCAAAATAAATTAAAATTTCTTCTGTTCAAGGAGATGCAAGTGAGTTAGTACGCCACTTCCTTATCGAACCAACACCAAAGGGCGTAAGGTTAAAGGGATGTAGCAATGAACCAGTGTTTGGTAAGCAATGAATATTATTTTACAGTTGCTTAAAGCTTTTAATCTGATTGTAATTCTTTAAATGTAATTCTTACTTTATTATGATCAAGACATTCATTAGTGCTCTGATAGATTCGATAAAGATGATCAAGACATGTGTGTCAAGCAACCGTATTATAAGCATCACGATGTTGAAAATTGTTTATCTGATTAAGTTTATTGTAGCATTATAATTATTTAAAGCATGTGGTTAAATAAAGAGCCTCTTTGGTCTTTACAGGCAGCCTTGCAGCTTTAGTGTACCAGCACTCCATTACTCCACTAGCCCTCCCAGTCAAGCTTGCCCTGCCTACGGAACATGTCCTTGGACAAGGTATGCCTTCCTATCTCAACAGCTCTTTGACTTTTCATCTTTTTTTAAGGAAAAAAAATTGAAAATAAATTAAGTAAAAGGTTCTATACTGAGTAAATTGGACTGTTGTTTGTTCTCTTTGCCCTCTTTCACTGGTCATACGAAAAAAATAAATAGATGGATCTTGAATTTATCCAAAAAGAGAATCCATCTGTTAATGCAAATTGTATCAGTTTGGGGGAAAAAAAAAGATTTTGTGCAAGATTAATGCATTTTGAATGACTCATGGTTTGAAGGAATAAACAAGATATAGAGTACAATGTACAAAGACAGCATTGTTTTGATTTAAGGTGTAGAATTACCTTTGTAATGGCACACCTCAGTGAAATGTATACTCACGTGAAGCAGTATACTAGAATGTTTATGATGCATCCAGTTGCCTAACATCAGGGACATGCATGTTTATTTGATATATGATATGGGTTGAATCCAGGACAGTTAGTGAAATTAAGATGGCTTCTCTTGGCATCAGTGACACCTTGTGATAGATTTCCATCTGGTGTGAAGGCTGTGACTGATACATTATGAATAGATGAAATTTTTAGACTGATACATTTCTGTTAGGAACTTATAATTGTATAACAACAAGACAAAATAAAGTTCCATAAAACCTGCACTTAGTTTTAGTCTTTAATAATTTCAGATCAAGTCGATGTAGGCCCAGAGAGTCCAATGAGTGAGGCAGCTCCTAGTTCAGCATCGGCTTTACTAGCACAGGGAGCAGGTAAGACCAGTATGACTATAAAATACTAGTTGCTCACTCAATCTGATATTTTGTTGCATGTCACAGGGAGTAGTGAGACTGATTTAGATTAAGTTTGAGAGCTGCATTACTTTCCAACCAAATATGCATATAAAACAAACATAATTCTGATTTTTATTTCCAGCTTGCAATGTGCTCTTTATCAACACAGTGGACACAGAGTCCCTGACTGGCCCCCAAGCTGTGTCCAAGGCAGTGAAGATGACCTTCAGTATGGAGCCCCCTCCTAAGTCCACAGTCGTCCACTTCAAGGTCAATAACCAAGGCATCACCCTGACTGATAACCACAGGAAGTGAGTACATTTTGCATGCCAGGTGCATGATTTAACTACAGGACTCTGTTAAAAAGTATCTTTTTGAATATAGCAAAATTTAATTTGAACATACTTTTTAAAAGAGGTTGTCATTTTCTTTTTGGTTTTTTATAGTTTTCTTAATAACTACAGGACTCAGTGAAAGTTTCCTTTTGAATATAGCAAAATTTCACTTGAACAGTTTTAAAAAGACGTGGTAATTTTATTCTTGGTTTTTTGTTGTCGCCTTAATTGCCAAAATGCAATTATCAGAAATGCTACCATTATTATTTCCAGATTGTTCTTCCGTCGCCATTACCCTGTTGGTAGTGTCACATTTTGTGGAATGGACCCAGAAGACAGAAGGTATGTTCAGTTATCTAGACTCTCAGTCAAATGATGAAGATTATTCATCAGAGGGTTTATTTGGCATAGTGAACACCATGCAAATGTTATAAATCCACTCTGAAAATGCAGAAAGTAACTGTAAAAAGCTTAAAGCTAAATTTACCATATGAATATCATATATGATATTTTAATGAGAAATTTATATTTAAGTACTATGCAGTGCCTCTCCAGGCTGATGATTAATGTACTTTTGGACTGTAAATTATGGAACAAGGCAATTAATGGTATGATAATTGGTGTTTTTTATGGGACTTGATGGTAATTTATTTTTTTCACCCTAGGTGGAGTGCAACCCAAGAGAAGACAGGTGCCCCCATGAATGCAAGGTGAGTAAATGAATAGAAATTTGACATGTCTATGAAAATTTTTTATTCCAGCTTGTTCTTGAGTTTTCATAAAGAAATTTAAAATTGGCAATGCTTGAAATGAAGGTGTTGTATGATAAATGTGACTTGTAGTCTGAAATAACTTTGATGAAAATGTTGAAAGTTTTGAAGGTTTTTGAAATGCATAGTGGCTTTTATGTGTGCAAAGTTTTGTTAACAGTGTCACAACTTTTTTCGTTGCTATTTCAGAATCTTTGGGTTTGTAGCTCGTAAACAAGGCAGTACAACAGAAAATTCTTGCCACCTATTTGCTGAGATTGATCCAGACCAGCCTGCAACAGCCATTGCCAACTTTGTAACAAAGGTTATGCTTGGTCAAACCAGAAGATAAAATGAGACGACAAGCCTGACTGGATTGTCAGTAGCATTTATCAGTAACAACATACATTATTGGATGAAATGTGACTTTAGACAGAAAGTATTGAATGAACTTAGACCAAAGTCAAATTGAGACAAATTGTTTAATCTAGAGTTTGACAATTGATGGCAGGGAATGGAATACATAATCACTCATCGAAAGAAAAAAAAATTGCTGTGATGGATGAAACCAAATGGGTTTGTGATAAACTGATATTTAGACATATCATCTGGATATCAGCCATGCTGTTTAGAATATTGGTGGAAGAAATTTTGAGGGAGAAAAAGATTTGGGTGCAAGCTGTCAACGAGGTTGATATGGCGGCAGTAGAGGGCCGTCTTCGTATCAGTGCCATAAATTCCTGAGGGACAAATCAAAATAAGAAAAATGAAAGCAAAAACAAGTATCATATTAAATAACATACAGCATATCTTGTATGGATTAACATTGGTTGGGTATTGTACACTGTACATTAGGCTCTTAATCATGAAAAGGCAAAGGTAACCTGATTTGTCATATCTTATTGAAATATTTAATCGATTTAACAGTGTATTAGCACTGGAAATGTTTTTAAGTACTCTGTAATCTGATCACCTTTGGTGATGTATAGATACTGATGTGGAAGTACTGGGTTATTTCCCAGAGATCGTGTTTTTAATCAGTTAACAATGTATTATTTGACCATTAGACTAAGTAATATTTAGGGTAGGACAGTATTTATGTAACAGTAACACTTTTCCACCCAGAATTATGATTGATAACAACCCCATGTCTAGTCATCTATAGGTAAAAAAGTTCACTCTGTATATAGGTTGTTGACCTCGATAATGTAGGTCGTTGACCTTTGTACAAAAAAAGGTCATCAAAACTGTAATTAAAGGTGCTGTGGATGGCTGAAGTAAGGTGGTAAACTCAAACAATTTTCAAGGCAGTTTGGAAACAAATATAATGCGGAGAAATGCAGCCCAACTTGGGGGGAGGGGGGCGGGGTCTAGTCTTTATGGATAAATTGCATTTAATTACCATTTTAAAGTAGAAGCTGCCAGATTATTGAGAAATCTCATGGTTATTATGTTAAGCTGGATATATGTTTATAAACATGGAAAATTTGGTGTCATAGTGACTGCCCACTCAATGTCCTTCATAACAGACATTAAATGGGGACGATTTGAACTGCCCACAGTGCAGCGCCCCCTTCTGTCGGTGGTGGCAGCCATGTTGGCTGGTTCGTATAGCGGGTATTTGTAGCTTAATATATGCTACTTCAGCTTTCAGTTCATTATAAATAGCATCATAGGAGACATATTTTGTAATACTTCGTGTTGAACTTGGAAACTCACATTATCATAATTATTGCTATTACCTTATTATTCTATTTTGTATATCAGGTATCAGTTTATACACATATTAACCTTGTAGCCCATAGCTCCCTTTCTTCAAATATATCACTGGCTTTTCTTGGAATAAGACATACTGACACCTGGTGGTTGTAAAGTTATGTTGCTCACTGATATTTTTAGTTTTGTTTTTTGGACCCTATAACCTTGGTCCCCTCCATATCAAAGAATGTCAAGTAGACCAGTTATATTTTGCTGAAAGGCACGGCATATCGCTTCTATATATTTTATCATGCCAATATTTATTGTGTACATCAATACACAGTCTTGAGATATATTTGCCTTTTGAAGGGATTGTTAAAGTCTGGTATATATGAATATATATTATTGCATTTTTTTTCAGCAATAAAATATTTGTAATCTAGGACCCTTGTCTCCTGTTTTCAAAATGGGGAATTTCCCTCAGGCTAATGTGATTAAATATTGATTGCTTTTCATGGTACTACAGTAGATCCTACCTTATAAATGGCACCGAGCATGTTGTACGTGTACAACAATGAAGCATTAAGCCAATAAAAACCATTGGAAGGCATGTTTCAAAGTATCCCCCCCCCCAAAAAAAAAAAAAAATTGAAAGCTGTACAACGTGCTAAACAAGATATAAACAACTCGATCCGTTTAACCATATAATGGTGAAAATAATTTACTGTTATGTATTCTTTTCGCCTACCCTTTTAACAGTTACGTAAAGTGTTGCCAATATCAAGAACATGGAGTAAATTTCTGATTGGTCAAAAAGTTTTGAAAGGCGTCCATTGCAAGGACAGGAAACGGGATGCGATAGCTTGGGAACAAATTCTAAAATTGCACCGACTGAAGACTATCTAAGACTTGAGTATGGAAACGTTTTCAAAAGTTTTCAAAAATTTTGAATTTCCAGTAAAAACACTTAAATTGTCAAACCTTTATACTCCTAAGTTTACGGACATTTTGTTTCAATAATGAGCTGACAAATTTTAGAGATTGCATTTATTCGTAGTAAAAATTTGATAAGTAAATAAAACCATCTATTTCTGCATACTTAAATAAAACAAAGCTAGACTGTGTTTACATTTAAAAACTCCTTTCAGTCAGTGATTTTAATGTCAACTTCCTAGAAAGCGTGCATTTCGTTAGCGAAATAGATTCAGTTGTTTTTATGTGATTTTATGGTTCATTAGAAAAAGATGTTTTGTTTCAAAACGAAAAGATAATTAAAAAAGAAAAGAAAATGCATTACACTAGTTTGTTGAAAAATCAAGTTTCTACACATGCATTATATTTTATCATTTTATCTATATTGCTTTTTCCCGCAACATTTTCCTCTTGGTGTGGGGTTAGGGGCCTGCTCAATGGCCCCAACCAAAAAATGGTGTTTTGGAGAGTAAACAGTGCCCTTTGGTACGGTTTAGAACTATGATTTAGCAAGTCAAAATTCTATTGTATTAACAAACATTGTGGATTAATGACCAATTTTGAAAGTATTCCATTTGCTTTTAAATAGCTCACTTTGTCTCTAAAATGAAACGTAATGAAACGGGTGTTACGGCTCTCTTCTGGTCCTCAAACCAAATTCGGTCCCTTGGTTCTAAACTGTTTCCAAGAGGCTCTGTTCAGCTAAAGATAGGTTTGGGGAACACGTTTGAACACGTCATGATGGACATTCACAGTTGTAGGACCAAAACAGAGCCTCTTGTAAAACAAATAAATGATAGTTTGCCGAGTTTTTACTTGTACAGCTGGTCACAAAATCACTAAAGCGGAAATTTTAAACATCCGAGTGGTCAGCCCACTCTCTTATGACCAAACAGGTGCATTTGTACTCGTTTAAATGGTTGTAATCGATTCTCGGTAAAAAAAATACAAGAAAGTTTTCTGATGCGTTTTCATTGACTGTCAGTATATATATTGGGTTTTTATGTAATGTCTCATTACTTTCTCTATCTTCCTGGTGACGTACAGATAAACAGTGAGGTCTACCGGTCACGGCTGATAGACACTCCTATCTGTAAAATTGCCAACGTGTAAAGGATGGCGTGATAAAGCTGCAGCTCTCGGTTATTTTAACAAATACGAACTCAAATTATAGCAATCTCAAAGCACTATATATATTGTTTGCAAGAAAATGTAAGCTTTCTTGCAATTTTCCGTAAACTTGAAATCTTCCTGCAGGTTTGTAGCAAATTTGCAGCAACTCTTCTTGCAACAACCTGCAAACAGTTTTTTGCAAAGAAATGCTCCAGATAGCCATCGAAATATTAGAGGTGAACAATTTCAATTCTTGCGATATCACTTATAATGCCTCTGTCGAGAAATGAAACCGACTTGCATTTTAAATTCAAATTGGCAGTAGTTTCTGATTCGTTATAATTTGATTGGTAGCTGAAGTTTTATATGTGTTTTTATACCAATTCCTATTTTAACATTAAAAATGTTATTAAGAAATCATTTGCAGCTTCTCTATAATTTATAAACAAGATTTCCACATGGTTACAAGGCACATATTTTTCATTGCTGTTTTATGGGTGTTAAGGGAATAGCAGATCATAAAATAATCATTGATCAAAAGAGAACTCGAGTCAACATTAAGCCAACACGAGGAACAAACAGGTTGGGTATAAAAGTTCTTTGGACTCCGATGGTGTTGTTCCCCAACAATAAGTAAACGTATTGAGAGGGATTTGAGAACCCACTACATATATTTCATTTCAGCAAAACTTTTTGCCCTAGCTAGGGTTGCTGATTCCAAAATCTTTTCTATCACATCTCTTAACTTTATACCATAACACGTTTACATTAAAAAAAAATCAAGGTGATTGACAGTGCACCAATAGGACAATACCAGAAAGTCCTGGAGGCCATGCATGTCAAGAAGACGACCGACATTCTCTACCGAAATGTTGGGCCATTCTCCCTGACCTTATCCTGCCTTTCCTTAGCAGTACTTGTTCTGGAATTCCACAAAATATTGACAAAAACTGTTCAGTCAAGCAAATGTGAAATGTGGTCACTCACTCATGTGATGCATAAATACAAAAGACCACACCTACTGAGATCACACGCACACACTGACTTTACTGGAGAAGGACAGGAGAAGGACATGACTCTCTTCATAAGATATAGACTCCACAATTTATCATAGTGTATTTGTTTTAATTTATGAGAATCATTGTTTTACATTATACTTTTGAGTATATTATATTGTATTTGTATTTTTATTTTGGTGACCGGCTATCAGCAATTTTGAATAAACTGAAAATAAAGCCAACCGTGTACAAAAAGGAGTTCTATGTTCTTTCTATGTATTCAATGTATATCTCCTGGATAGAGGTTATTCACATGTGAGGAAGTATACAGTACTTATTGCGCTGTAAATATATTGGCAAATGTGTTCGTTTTAATAACAGTAATGGACATTTCTTTTGCATGATAAATATTGACCATGTTACAATGTATAGCCGTTTCTGAATTATAAATCCAGTTTACGCGAGTCGTAGCGGAACAAATTTACTACCCGTTGGTGCTACCAGGCCCAGTATAGTAAATCCTTGAAGTTGGTGATGATCCGGATCAATAATCAATCAATAATCAATAATAATCAGAAATCGCTGCCTTGGCGGAGGTCTGCGCTCTCGGAGTGCTTTTCTAGTTCATTGTATGTCTCCTTGATAAAGGTTATTCACCTGAATAGCATCAATCCCTGATGAAGATACTCATGCTCTAGATAGGAATTGAAATGTTGGAGGTAAATTACAATTTCAATACTAGCTGTTGACTTAAGACCGTTGACTAAATGTAAGATGATGTGAGGAAGTATTCAGTACTTATTGCCCTGTAAATATATTGGCAAACGTGTTCGTTTTAATAACACTAATGGGCATTTCTTTTGCATGATAAATATTGACCATGTTACAATGTATAGCCGTTTCTGAATTATAAATTCAGTTTACGCGAGTCGTAGCGGAACAAATTTACTACCCGTTGGTGCTACTAGGCCCAGCATCATAAATCCTCGAAGTTGAAATGGTGATGGGCAATTAAAAACATTCTTACTGATCTATGTTTAAAAGTTATTTTAGAAGCAGTTTCAGAAGAAGACAAGCCAGAATTGTACTGAAACACCGACATGTCTCGCTTGTCCTTTCCTTAACATTACTGGTAGGTGGTAGGGGGGTAATTACCTCCGCCAAGTAGGTTATGTTTTCACCCCTGTTTGTCTGTTTGTTTGTTTGTCATCAACATAACTCAAAAAGTTATGGACCGATTTTGATGAAATTTTCAGGAACTGTCAGAAGTGGGCCAAGGAAGAGATTATTAGTATTTGGTGGTGATCCGGATCAATAATCAATCAATAATCAATAATAATCAAAAATCGCTGCCTTGGCGGAGGTCTGCGCTCTCGGAAAGCTTTTCTAGTTCATTGTATGTCTCCTGGATAGAGGTTATTCACCTGAATAGCATCAATCCCTGATGAAGATACTCATGCTCTAGATAGGAATTGAAATGTTCGAGGTAAATTACAATTTCAATACTAGCTGTTAACTGAAGACCGTTGACTAAATGTAAGATGATGTGAGGAAGTATTCAGTACTTATTGCCCTGTAAATATATTGGCAAACGTGTTCGTTTTAATAACACTAATGGGCATTTCTTTTGCATGATAAATATTGACCATGTTACAATGTATAGCCGTTTCTGAATTATAAATTCAGTTTACGCGAGTCGTAGCGGAACAAATTTACTACCCGTTGGTGCTACTAGGCCCAGCATCATAAATCCTCGAAGTTGAAATGGTGATGGGCACATAAATACATTATTCTTTCTGATCGAATCTGCGTTTAAAAGTTATTTTAGAAACAGTTCCAGAAAAAGGCAATCCAGAATTGTACTGAAACACCGAAATGCCTCGCGTGTCGCAATTAGTCGTTGGTATCATCGTCTTTGGTAAGTGAACGACTTAAGTGATTATGCAAACAACGAAAAATACATATATTTACTTAAATCTGCGTTTTCAGCTTTACTTGAAGAAATGCAAACAGATACTTTTATATATTGTAAAATAAATGGGACGCTTGTGCGAAGATACTATGAAAAATAATCAACTACTGATTCTAAAGGGAAATTGATCTATACAATACAGGCTTTTAACATAAACGTTATTTCAGTGACTTTTTGAAGAAAGAAAGAGTTATATCAGACACATAATAACAAAATATATCGATATTCCCAGCAGTTGGAAAATAATTGCAAAATATTATATGATATTCATACCAACTTCAGTACTGCTGGTCTTGCTGGAAACATGCTATTACTTATAATACAGAAATGGAGTGCAATGCTGTTGTCTAAGCCAACTTCAATCAGATAGGAAGTTGGATTTTAAGTTAAAAATTATTATAGTTTCTGAACCATTGTGTAAATTAGTTGTTGCCTGGAGAAGTTTAATTTATAATTGTTTTTATTTCATTTCTCATTTTATTTCAGAAATCATTTGTGGTTTCTCTCCACTGAACGTCACTGGCGTTAAAGTATCATCATGTAGAACAACAGTTTTAAATGGTTTGAGGAGAAATGGCAACTCGAACACCAACCGGGACATCCTAATGCAGGAACCCCAAGAGGGTCTTCAAGATTGTGCTCGGATGAAATTTAAATCATCTGAGGCCAAATCTGTTCAGTTTTGTACCACGTCGAGGATGTGCACCGTTTTTAGAACTGAGTTAACTCCAGCTGTAATACAAGACGCCATGGTTGATAACGACTGTGTGCTTATGAAGTTCGCTTGTGATGGGATAAAAGTAAGGTTCGAATATGAGGTTGGCTCATTTCTTTTTGATTAATTAATTTTCAATCTTAAATTCAGAGTTTCCCTGTTTTGTCATTTTTTGTTTGTTTCAAAAAAGGCCTCTTAAAAGTGAATAGGCTTTAATATTCTGCTATTTAAATGGATTTCACTCATACGCAAATAAATGCCATGTACTGTATATGCATCCAAACTTATTTCTAGGATAACGAAGACCTATCAGAATTCGGTACTGTCAACACGACTAATGCCACTGCAACGCAAGTAACGGCTTCGTCCACCACACTGACGCCATCACCACCCCTGACATCTGCAGCACCACCAGAAACACCACCTCCGTCAACTGCAGCGGCACCGAATATACCCACGTCTACCGGAGTAATGCCATCAACTGCCCTTACTACACTTACTTCACTTACCTCACATTCACCCTCAACACCAATGTTGTCTTCAGCAGTGACGTCAGCACCTCATTCATCAACTACACTGACGTCTTCAACGGAAACTGTTACTTCTGGTCAACTAGGTAAGCCAAAGTTGATTGAATATGATCACCATTATAAAATAAATATATCACTTCCAATAAATGTTGATTGTTTTTTTTTTTTTTTTTTTCATATTCACGCTTGCATCAGATGTATATGATTGAAATCAAAATCTACTCGTCTTAGAATAAAACAAACTTTCGAAAAAGTGAAAACAAAGAAAATCGTGTATTTGTACTTCATGACTGATGGGTTCAAATAAAAGAAATATCTGATATTTGTTCTTAATATTTTAGTTGGCTCTGAGTTAAACCCAGGTGCTAACTGTGCAGATATTCTGCAAGCCCAACCAGAAGCAGTGACAGGTGTCTACTGGATCTCAACACAGGGCCAAACGTTTCAGGTACCATAAAGAATATATTAGCTTGATATGAATCACTTAATTAATAAAATGAGTGTTTTTTGTTTTGCAATGACTTGACCTGATAGTCTTGGCTTGAAAGGTTTGTAATTTTTGTTTCAAGAATGGTAAAACACTACAGGTATTCAGATATTCGTCCCACATACCGACCAAGAAAACTAAGATTGAGAACAGGATTATTATGAGCCATAATCTGTGTAACTGCACTTTCTTTATGCAGGTCCACTGTGATATGGACACTAACGGAGGGGGCTGGACTCTCGTCTGGAGTTACACTTTTACAAATTTTGGCCCATATTTGTCAGGTGCCCTAACACCAAGACCAAGTTGGTCGGTGCCTGACGGCGATGTTCCCATATCTGTTACTCCTCCGTTGAACGAAGCAGATTTCAATGCCGTGGATTTTGCCTTGTGGAAGTCCATCGGTAACCGACAATTTATGGTAAAATCAACCATCAATAATTGGATCGTCTGTAATGACACCAAGCTGGTAGAGTTCATAAGTGGGCCAATTGACTGCCGCGTTGTCAAAACTGTTGTCGAAAGCGAAATGTCGTGCCTTAACACTGTTCCCATTTACTTGCACACCCTTGCTTTGGGTGGTGTAAATGGAGGTCTGGCTCTCACTACGGGTCAAGATCCACCCTTCATAGAAGGATCTGCGTATTACTTCTTTCGGACGTCCACTGAGATAGAGAATTGTCCGGCGCATGATCCCTGTGGTATGGGACGCTGTGATGGACATAAACAAGACCCCAATATGCCATATGGCAACATTTACATTCGCTAAAGATTTTTGCATTATAAAGAGAGAATATGAGTCAAGACGCGGGTTTTATGGAAAACAATATAAAAGAAGCAGCTGTAAAGCAACGTCTTTTAACGTTTCTGAGCTATTTGCAGATGTTCATTATCCTTTTATTGGATTTTTCCTTAATTATACGATGTATATATACACCTACTTTGTGAAGTACGTTATATTCCATAAAAAGACATTTTTTCTCCAAGTTGCTGTAGTTTAATTTCACTGATAATATCGCTGCAGATACGTCTAATGGGATGTTACCATTGATGAGATGAGTTTGTGATCAGACGCTTTTGGAATTTTACCGTAAGCTTGATTTTCTTTTATCGTTTTACACGTTTTAACTTTGCATATTTGGATGTCAATAAAAGCTGGACTATACCGTGGAACGGCGAAGACATGTTACTCCTACAGACTGATGGATACGTTTCAACTGTGTGTTAAGTGATGGCAGAATTTCTCTAATTGTTCCGTACCCAAGAGTGTCCAAAGCAATTGCACACAAATTTAATTTGGGCTCTTGTTTCGAACGCGTTTTCACTTCAATGCTGAACGAATAGATTGAGGAAAAAAAACAGTTAATCAGTACATTAAGCATATTATTAAGTTGTAATCAATCGTATAAAAATCCTATAAAATAAACGTTTTTATTGTCAAAATATGTCGTTATCAAATTTGCAACATTAAATGGAGAAATTCATTCAGTTTGTTGCATCGGTAATTGGTGGACACTGCATTTGATACTCGGGTACATACATTTACAAATTTAACTTAATTGAATGAGCTTTCTTTAAACTAACTATTAAAGTAACTGATGTTTGACGAGTCAGACTGAACAAAGCTGGAATTAGTCGCTGTCAACGTGTTCAGTACAATACAATTCCAGCATGCGCAGACAACACCAGGATTATGTTACGTGGAATGCATGAGAATGTGACGTCACCGTGATCTGTATAATACAGTATGTCTCAGACAAGAAATGGTTATACCCCAATGTAACGTGGAATACATGCAATGTGGACATATCAATAAGACTGCCATGACCAGATAAAGCCAAGATTGTCATATTAACGTCTATAGCTGGGTTAAACAGTTGGCAAGATCTTGGAAAAGACCTTGCGTTTGGTAATCCAAAAGAGGGCTGCAGAATTTAAGGAGAGGGGACAAGGGAAAGAAAAAAAAGAGTCCAACACATGATTCAACACAAACCATCTCATGTCCAGAGTGTGGCTGAGTTTGTAGGCCCCTACATCACATTTTGGGTTTCACACCTCCGCGGCCACTTCACTAGTCGCCTAACCACTGACACCCATACATACTGGGGCGAAACTTGAGGATCCGCAATACAAGTTCACCAGTTATCACACCGGATATATCTAAGTCCACTACCACTTGATGTTTCTACTTGGATAGTATAGAGAAAATGAAGAGGCGTGGCCGTTGGAATCAAGTGGAACGGGCCGGGTACGTACGGATAAAATTTAGTCCCAAAATATTACACGTCCCTATACTCCCGTTCCCGATAGATACATAAAGGGAAAACTTTTTAGATTTAAATACCGATAGATCCGATTTTTTACCACCGTCCTATAAATTTGCGTTCCTATAGATACGACGTCCTCATAAACCCACGTCCTTTAAATCCGTATACCTATAGATCCACGTATTTTAGATCCAAATACCGATAGATCCATTACAGGTACACTATTGCTCAAAATGGTTGGTATACTACTCAGTACATAAAATGCACTGTTTAAAAAGAGAGTACACATATTAATCCTTTCAGCAATTTATTATTCTACTATAGACCGTTTTTACGCAATACTCGGGTAATTTACATTAGGCCTACTAATGCATTATCTGACAGAAATTTATGATTTCACTAGATGTTTTGTTATTTTCATGTTACATTCATTTAGTTTTGATTACGAAGGCTTCTGACAGGAACCTAAGATTATATATTTTTTCATAGCGATTAATCCAAGAAAACACACACACACACACACACACACACACCACCCCCGTCAATTAAGAACTCGTCAAAAGTTGATGAAATAATGTTAAGAGTTTTACAAGTAAAAACTTCTTATTTTATACTGTGTATGATTTATTTGGGCATTTCATGAATGATTCTGCCTGACAACTGTCTTGTTTACTTGATAGAAACCATTACTGTATGGTTGACAAACATACCCAAAGTTTGCAGGCAAAAATCGGCTGTATATATATATATATATATATATATATATATATATATATATATATATGTTACTTATATCTTGGACATAATAACGAATTTGTGTCGTTTTTATGTCCAAGTAGTTTACATTGATGAAGTTACGTGCGTACATTGCGGAATGGAGTAAATGATAGTAAACGATAGTAAAGACGTGTAGACGCGAACGTACATGTAGGCCTATGTCTTGTTTGAACACCTAATAAATATATAAATAAATAAATATCAGGTTGTAATTAAGTCATCTCACTGAGTGGGTCAGTACTCGCATCCAGACTTTCTCTCGAAAGCCTCATACCTGTATCTCCAGTTTATATCGGCATTTTAGCCGATTAATTACGATGTCAGATAGATGGATATCTAGCGGTACCTGGATCTAAAGACACGTGGGTTTATAGGAATCTGTTGGTGGATCTATCGGAACGTAAATTTAACGAGACGTAAATCTATTGAGACGTGTATGTATAGACACGTATCTATCGGGACGAATATTTTATTGGGACGTTTATCCATATGGCGGACCCGAACAGGCCGACTGGTAACGTACTGCGCATGACTTTTTCTGATATATCCATAATGACCTTGTGCTGGTTTCTAGAAAATTGTGTTTATATATATTATATATGTGTTTGCATTGTGCTGTTTGCAAATGCCAATAGGCCATTGAAGGTTTTGATAGGCCCGAATTGTTTCAAAAGCCTCATAAAAATTGGCCTTTATATAGAAGGGATATTTTGAAAAATTGGTATCCCTTTGAGTCTACGCCGTTATTTGACATTTTACATATTAGTCCTCTAATGCCAACTATTTGAGTGTCAAATTAATAGTTATGGCATTATTGAGGGGAGACCCTAGTTATAATATATTAAAATACATTTAAGTAAACACAAAGTAGGAGTAATAAAATATGGAAGGGGTTGATATCTACAGTCAATTCCTGATGATTACCCGTACACGGTATCTGAGTCAACTATTTCTCATCTCTTCGAAAGGTGAGTCTTATTCATGAGATAGAGGTTTTTGAATAGTCAGTAAATATTATTGGTTGAGTATAATACTAAAGCAATGCATATTTAATTTGCAGATCATGAATGTACTTTGCGTATAATGAGTCGTTGTTTCAAAGGTAGCATCCAGACCCGTTCCAGAGCCGTTCTACTTTTTTACTACAAGAATAAAACAGAAATTTATTCTCAATGAAAAAAGAGACATATGAAAAATTTACACACCAAAATTAATATTTGCAGCTGCATTGTTTAACCCAAACTTTCCAGCACCGAAATCGATTCACAACGGAGATGCGGTACTTCATAATTGTTTTGCTTTGGAACCAAGCTCTTCTAGTGAGGTTCCCTTCCGATGAAAAAGAAAGCAGGGGAAAACGTATGCCAAAATGTCCGTTCAAAACAACACCTGGAGACAGCGGCCCAGGATGCTGTGACATTTCGAGATTAAAAGAAAAATGTCTATGCATACCACCAGATAATGCAGAAGGTGAAGATACGATAAAGACACATTTTGTGGGATTTACAATACTAACCCAATAGAAGTAAAAAATTCCCATTAATCTATAATCCGTCATTTTTATATGCACTTGAAGTAGGACAAAAAGAACGTTCTACTGATTTACTATTCCTTCTCTTTGCTTAAGAAGGGCAGTGAAATCCGTGTTTCTGAAAAGATGCACATACTTGTACCTTTGAGAAAAAAAAAATTGCCTACTAAAAATAAAAAGAGAATCATTAAAAACAGCCTTAAGTATACACAACAGTATGCATTTTTTATGAGAACATTTACACTATTTAAACGCATAATTCTGCAGTTAAAGGTCGGAGCTGCTGCTACATGTAGCTACCTCTTCCTACCTGTGCAAACATCCACCACTCTGCATTAACTAGTCGTCAAAAACAATCCCGAACTGCATTAAAATTTAGGAAATAGAAAAATCAGATTTTCTATGTATATATAAAATCTCATTCTTATAACGTATTAAATTCTCCTACAGGAAATAGTGCAAATCAATATTACTTTTTCTCTTTTATCAAAAACAACCCCCAGAAAGCCATTTATTCACATAAAATTGCTTGCCATCCTAAAGAGCCAGGGACCATTTTTAAATGAAAAAAAAAAATTATGAAATTGATTTCCCAAAAGTTTTATTTGTAAATCAAAGTAAGAGCCTTGCATGTGCATGTGAGCGTGCATATGTGTCCGGTTCCAAAATAGCAGGTTAGACTAGCTTCCATCAGTCGCATGTGCATTTGGCAGCATCTCGGCAAAGGGGATGGCGGTTCTGAAATTAACTATTTTACACATTATTATGAGTTCTTGATCGTTATGTAAAAGCAGAAAGGTACACTTTCAGTTAGTGTAAAACTGAACAGTTCTAAACTGCATCATTATGAGTAACATTCCACGCAGAACAATATTCCAGTATTTGTACTTTCAACTTCTCTCAATGTGAAATAAACTTCATTTCGTGTTTCTGGCTCAGACTTTAATAAAAATGTTTCAATTCAATCGCATATCTTTTGTCCTTAACCTCACACTCCAACAACTTTCTTTCTCTGTCAGAAACTCCTCCCCCCTACCCTCCCCCCCAAAAAAAACATCTACATTCAAATTGAAGTATATATTTATTTACATAATCAGTATATAAAAAATTAAACCCAATACATATATCTTATACTAAATGCATATCATGGGGAATTTTCAATGTACATGAACTTGATATCATAAATACGATGTGGAATTATTGTTGCAGTTAAACAGTTAAAAATTAAGCATATAAAGGTAGGATGAATTCTGTTTTAATGCAATTAGTCCACAGGTATATTACACTTGTCATCAATATGATGATGTTATGCTGATTATTTTGAAATGATACTAGTAAATTCCTTTATGACAAAAAATAATTTTACAGTTGATAACATCCTGCATTTGGTAGGAAATAATTAGATGCTAAAAAGTGCATTGGATTTTCTTCTAATAATGTCACTTATATTACAAAATGATTTTTAAGGACAAAATATTTCTATCCAAATCTTTCTCAATGATATTCACTAATTTACCATATACAAACAAAGATAATTTTATCTCATAAAAAAATAGCTGTATTTTTTAATTTTAACTTTTACATACATCTCACATAGATAACCATGTACACACTGTGTATTCATTTTTGAAATCCTAACTTTACAGGCCCCTATTTGTGCATTTTAGGTATTCTTCAAGGAAGTGTTGAACAAAGACATACATAAAACACTGATCATTAATACACTAGTATGATGTTTTAATCACCCACAAAAAATAAACTTCTACAGTTCAAAAACAGTTTTATTACATAAATGGGATAAACGCTTGAAAGGCCCAAGCCAAATCCACTGCTTCGACATAAAATTGCACACTTAAAAACAAAATATACAATAACTTCATTCCTTATTCATTTAGTAATACTTTGATTTACTTCTGGTGCCTTTTCAATTATAGCAATAGTGATAAACNCCTCCAGTGATGTTCCTTTCCGATGAAAAAGAAAGCAGGGGAAAACGTATGCCAAAATGTCCGTCCAAAACAACACCTGGAGACAGCGGCCCAGGATGCTGTGACATTTCGAGATTAAAAGAAAAATGTCTATGCATACCACCAGATAATGCAGAACGTGAAGATACGATAAAGACACATTTTGTGGGATTTACAATACTAACCCAACAGAAGTAAAAAATTCCCATTAATCTATAATCCGTCATTTTTATATGACCTTGAAGTAGGACAAAAAGAACGTTCTACTGATTTATTATTCCTTCTCTTTGCTTAAGAAGGACAGTGAAATCCGTGTTTCTGAAAAGATGCACATACTTGTACCTTTGAGAAAAAAAAATTGCCTACTAAAAATAAAAAGAGAATCATTAAAAACAGCCTTAAGTATACACAACAGTATGCATTTTTTATGAGAACATTTACACTATTTAAACGCATAATTCTGCAGTTAAAGGTCGTTAACTGCCGGAGCTGCTGCTACATGTAGCTACCTCTTCCTACCTGTGCAAACATCCACCACTCTGCATTAACTAGTCGTCAAAAACAATCCCGAACTACATTAAAATTTAGGAAATAGAAAAATCAGATTTTCTATGTATATATAAAATCTCATTCTTATAACGTATTAAATTCTCCTAGAGGAAATAGAGCAAATCAATATTACTTTTTCTCTTTTATCAAAAACAACCCCCAGAAAGCCATTTATTCACATAAAATTGCTTGCCCTCGTAAAGAGCCAGGGACCATTTTTAAATGATAAAAATTATGAAATTGATTTCCCAAAAGTTTTATTTGTAAATCAAAGTAAGAGCCTTGCATGTGCATGTGAGCGTGCATATGTGTCCGGTTCCAAAATATGAGGTTAGACTAGCTTCCATCAGTCGCATGTGCATTTGGCAGCATCTCGGCAAAGGGGATGGCGGTTCTGAAATTAACTATTTCACACATTATTATGAGTTCTTGATCGTTATGTAAAAGCAGAAAGGTACACTTTCAGTTAGTGTAAAACTGAACAGTTCTAAACTGCATCATTATGAGTAACATTCCACGCAGAACAATATTCCAGTATTTGTACTTTCAACTTCTTTCAATGTGAAATAAACTTCATTTCGCGTTTCTGGCTCAGACTTTCATAAAAATGTTTCAATTCAATCGCATATCTTTTGTCCTTAACCTCACACTCCAACAATTTTCTTTCTCTGTCAGAAACTCCTCCCCCCTACCCCCCCCCCCCAAAAAAAAAAGACATCTACATTCAAATTGAAGTATATATTTATTTACATAATCAGTATATAAAAAATTAAACCCAATACATATATCTTATACTAAATGCATATCATGGGGAATTTTCAATGTACATGAACTTGATATCATAAATACGATGTGGAATTATTGTTGCAGTTAAACAGTTAAAAATTAAGCATATAAAGGTAGGATGAATTCTGTTTTAATGCAATTAGTCCACAGGTATATTACACTTGTCATCAATATGATGATGTTATGCTGATTATTTTGAAATGATACTAGTAAATTCCTTTATGACAAAAAATAATTTTACAGTTGATAACATCCTGCATTTGGTAGGAAATACATTAGATGCTAAAAAGTGCATTGGATTTTCTTCTAATAATGTCACTTATATTACAAAATGATTTTTAAGGACAAAATATTTCTATCCAAATCTTTCTCAATGACATTCACTAATTTATCATATACAAACAAAGATAATTTTATCTCATAAAAAAATAGCTGCATTTTTTAATTTTTACTTTTACATACATCTCACATAGATAACCATGTACACACTGTGTATTCATTTTTGAAATCCTAACTTTACAGGCCCCTATTTGTGCATTTTAGGTATTCTTCAAGGAAGTGTTGAACAAAGACATACATATAACACTGATCATTAATACATTAGTATGATGTTTTAATCACCCACAAAAAATAAACTTCTACAGTTCAAAAACAGTTTTATTACATAAATGGGATAAACGCTTGAAAGGCCCAAGCCAAATCCACTGCTTCGACATAAAATTGCACACTTAAAAACATAGAATACAATAACTTCATTCCTTATTCATTTAGTAATACTTTGGTTAACTTCTGGTGCCTTTTCAATTATAGCAATAGTGACAAACACCAAAAGTATTAGTTTCAATCTCCACATAATAATAATCTTTTACTCAATGTACCGGTATATTCTCTTGATGGAAGAACCTGTTCTTCATGGTAGAGAGAGTATTTCCTTCTCAAATTGATCCAGAAACATGCTGATGTGATGCTTCTGACAAACCAATGCTGGTCGGAATCTGATGCTACGTTCCCCGCAAGCACCAACTATAAACCCTATGAAGTAAATAAGAACAGAAATCAAAGTATATGTTTTGATTTATCCATTTAAGCTAGAAAGTTAATATTACACTTGATTTTACCTTAAGTTTACCTGAAGAAGGCCTTGTGATAATTAAGGTCAAACGTGATCTCTGTTTTGACGTAAGATCCAGTATTAGATTATAAATTATCTCATTATGTTAGTAAATATGAAGAGAACTTCTTTTTAAAAATGTAACTAAGAGGTGAAAACTTGATTTCAATACAAATGGGAAGAATTAATTTGGCTTAGAAAAAGTTATTTCATGAAAACTTATAATTTGCTACTTTAAGAAGAAATAAATATAACAATAAAACAAAACCACTGAAACAAGAATGATCATTTTCAATTTCGATTTGTTTTTCTCCATTTCAAAACCCATTAACCAACCTTCATTTCTCAAGGATTTCACGACTTCATCTCTCATCTTCCCATTTCTGAGATCAATTGCTACAAACGTTCCCAGGCCTCTACAGTTTTCTAACTTATTTGGATGTGCTCTCTGAAAAACCAAATGATAATTATGTCATTTTGTTCTTGATGTAATAGAATGCCCTAGCATATATCATATGATGTAGACCCCAGGTTCAATAGTATTATCAGTGCATAAAACACTCTTTTAATTAAAACTTGATTGCCCCTAAATTACATTTCCCTTACTGCCCAAAGTCAGTTGAACCTATTCAAAGTAAACTTTATTACCATATCTTCTGCTGTTATCTGAACCCTCTTATTTCAGATTTGTACATCTTTTACATTGTATGCACAGGAGATAATCAAAAGAGCATGAGGCAATCCTATTTGTTACTGAGAAAAAGAACCATTATGTAATGTGTTGGACCCAGAAAAAAGCCAGTTAACATGTTAACAGTGTAAAATGCTGTGCTCACAGGCAGTATTTTTACAAATGAACCCTGAAATTGTGGTTCAATCCATCGGTTTGACAATGGCAATCACAAATCTTCAGCTCTCATCGAAAACAGCAATAATTGCTTGTGAGGCCTGCTATGGTCTCAAGTGCTATATTTGTAGTTGTCATTACCTGAAGTCCTGACAATCCGCCTTGGAGATGTTCCCCTGCAACAACCACATTCTCCAACAGGTTCTGGGACTTGATCACATTGATCACCTCTCTGAGGAGAAGAAGCTTGGTCGGGTCACCCATCCAGGTGTTGAAAATTCTGTAACTCTGAAAAACATGGAGACAAGGGGAAGGTGACATGCTCCATCCAGATGTTGTCCATGGACAGAGAGATCTTACTGGGGTTTTCAGTGTCAAGAGTATTAAGGAAGGGTAATGTTGATCAAAATAATAATGTATAATACTCAAATAGAAATTCTTTTTTTTTCTATCTTTCTTATATTATAACTGACAATTATTCATAAGCAAACAACAAATGGTTTTGATTTTTCAGTTAGCAGGGTGTTTTTTATATAAAATCATTGATTTAAATAGTATATAACAGTTTACACAAATAAGCAAGACTGCTTGATTTTATCGTTTAACAATAATTTTTAATTACAAATAAACATCATCTGTCTATGAACAAATTTTCTAAAACATCTTGCCCAACATCACACCAGTCAAATTCACTGAGATCTTTCCTTAACAAAAACAGTTTAAGTCTTACATCTGCTGATGTTGGTTTCATCTCTTCAGTGAAATAGAACCCTCCTGTCTGCATCTTCTTACTGAAGCAAACGACATCTGGTGGTTGAGGGAGATCCCAGTGCTCGTGTGCCCAGAATTTTCCAGTTGGTCCACAGCCTGTCTGCACCTCATCTATCATAAGAGCAGCGCCATTCTGGAAATGAGAGAAATGCTGGCCATCTTGCTTCTGCACATGATTGTTAATAATCTGATGCCATTTCACAAATACACATACAAAAAAAAAAAAAAAAAAAAAAAAAAAAAAAAAAATTATCAAAAATTCGTCTACACTTTTAGTCTGAAAATCTGGTCTCTTTTAGTCTAAGATAAATCCATAATAGTAGTCCATTCAAATAAAGTAAGCAGTGGTCTGAAACAATGATCATCCTTGTTATTCAACAGGTGTTATTTTCCATTTGGACAACTATACTGTGTTATCTTGTATCAATTTTTTCTGAAATAGTTCTTAATTTGTGAAACAGATCCCTGGAAAGCAGTGTGCTCACAGCTGCACTTAACACTGTAACTACCACATTACACTTGTCTACCAAGCTGGTGTGGTGTTCATGTTAATTTTAGTTTCTTTCTACAATGCCAACCTAAAGATAAAACTGCCAATAGAAAATTATTCTAATAATACATGTACTCATCTATTGTTAACCATTCTATTGTTAATCTATTGTCAACCCTTACCTTATTATAACTACACAATTTCAATAACCAATTGTACAAGAAAAAAGGCCAGCTTTAAGTTGATACCTTCTTAGCTATTTTTTGCAGTTCCCTGAAGAACCTTCCAGAGGCGTGGTTGTCTCCTCCCTCTGCCTGGATTGGCTCTACCACAATGCCAGCCACTGGTTCACCTTTCTTTTCAGCTTTCTCCATCAAATCCTGGACCTAAGAATCAAAATGTAAAAACAGATGCAATACATCCTCATTTTCTGATTTTCTCTAACATCTGCACTCCATGACCCACCTGATCTGATCCCTCATCCCCCCCCCCCCCCCCAAAAAGTTCTTAAGTTCCACGGCACATCATTTTCCTTCATTTTCAACTAAGTTTTTCATCAAGACAAGACTAACAGTTTCCACAACCACTCCACACACCAACTATTTGTCACTGCTCTTAAGGTTTGTTCAGGGCTATATTACTGCTAAGAACACTCTGAATTACCTATCCAGTATAATTATGATGTCCAGTGGTCAATGCTGTCACGCCCATCCCAAGCCTGTAGCTGAGGTTGAAAAGTGACCAACCCTTGGAGCCAGCCTTATTACTAAAATAAATACCGGGAAATTTCAGTGCCTCGCAAGCTTTATTCTTCCTACTGCCATACATTCAATGCAGTGACTCTCCTCCTGAATCCAGAGTTGTCTTCACACCCAACACAATGTGACACATCTAACGCAATTTACCTGTTCCAGACATCTGTCTTCTTCTGCATCATTCTCACGTTGGAATTCTTCAAGTGGGTAGCGAAGCTTGGGGAAAGGTGCACATGGCCAATCAAATGTTGGGAAGTCCAACTTGTGGAACCATTTTGTGTGTGTATTGGACAAACAAGCTAAAATTGAGTACAACTATAGGTAAATGTACTGGCTTGAAAGCAAGATGGATTCAACAATGTGTAGTACATTGGGATGACAAATTTTAACCAGTGACTTTCTCATAATGAAGTAAGTTAATAAACCAACAAAATTACCAATTGCTTACAGAAGTACCTAAATCAATACTATTAACTTAAAAAAAGAGGAAGAATCTAGTTTACCATTTAGCTTGTGTGCCCACCTGTAGTTCTGCCATGAAATGCATTGGTAAAGGACAGCAAGGACAGTTTAGGAGAACCTGGCAACATGTTGTGGACACTAGAGTCCATTTCCTCTTGGGTAGGTGGAAGTCCGCCCCTTTTATTGCGCTACAAAAATACAACTTAATGAAATAAATTATTACATATAATAGAAAAAAATCATGTACATATCCACTGTGTTAAGTGAAAAGTGTACTGAAAAGCCCTTTAAATTCCAACATGCATTGTTATACATATTGGCATATATTATTGTTGAAGTGAGGGGCAGCCAATAGCTACAATTTTTTCCCAACAGTAGCATTTTTTCCACCTGAAAACCATTTCTATCCATGCTTACTGTAAGAGAGTTAAGGTGAGATGGGAATGCTTTTTCAAGGCTCTTTTGGGCATGTAAAAATTAAAAGTTTTGAAAGGACGATCTTACCTGTACACAGCCCCACATGTGGAAAATACGGTGAAAGGACATTATAAGCACTAGAAAAAACATAGTACATAAGGTTAGTTGTCCAGCAGTAAGGTGATTACCTGATATGCCATAAAGATAGCTTTGTAGCCATGTTCATTGGAGCAGGCCCCGCACATCATTGGCTGAACATACCTCATGCCAGGGGGAGCCACCTAGATGAAAAAAAAAGTTATTTTGATACTATGAAAAATGTCATAACATTCATGAGTACATTGTATTTATAGCTACAAATGTTTATTTGAACAAAATTAACACTTGATAAGGCAGGGCGACTTTATTAAACAAACATCATCAAATTTTCTTGCACAGAAAAATTTTGGAGTGAATTCGGTTATTGCATAAACATACATGTGATTTACTGATTGAAACAATACATATTTAACCCTGAATCAAATAAACACTCAATCATGTGTGGTATGTGACTTTTTGAAAGAGAAGTACATTGTATACTCAATTTTTGCATATGTAAATGAGGAGTTTAAATTATTACATCAAGATAACTGATAAAATCAACTCTATCACTGGGTCTATTTTAAGACACCTACAGAAATAAGTGCATTCCTCACAGTCTCTGGCCAATCAGTGGAAGGAAAGTTACCGAATGCTGGTCTGTTTACAAGACTGGCCTAAATACAAAAGAAAAACATAAGAAAAATTGGGTTAAAAACCTGAAATTAACACACATGCTTAATCAAAGTTATTCAGTATAAGAAAAAGAATGACTCATTACTTAACAGCATGGGAAACACTCGCTTTGAATATCTGCTAACTATTATATTGAATATGCTGTGCTTGAAACTTGAAAAGTTTATAGCAATATGAAATCTCATTAAAAATGAAAGTGCTTGCAATTTGGTCTGACAGAATTTTTGCTAACCATATTGTTGGGATCCATCATGACTTGAATAAGGTTTGGGTGGTTGTAACCTTGAGAAAAAACAACATTTTTTTATTTTAACACTCATTTATCAAGCACTGTAAGTCACAGGGGTTAATTTCACAATTTAGCTTTTAAAGCAAGCATACCCTTAGTATACATAAAATGTTTACTGCCAGGTTTATAGAAAAAATTGAGCCACTTTGCCTAAGGAAAATGTATGTTATTTTAAACAGTTCAGAATGGATAGAATCAGCAGAGAAGCTACACATAATTGTGTCAATTTATGCACATGCTTAACATTTTAAAATTGGATAAATATGCAATCATTCGGCCACAGAAAACAAAACCAGTTCATATCCAGTACTTTCCAGATGTTTTCACAAGAACTTAATTCAACAGCCCTGTGTGAAAGGCATATTTGAGATGGGGATAAAATGACTCAGTACAGATCACTGCTTGAACTAAGATTTTTAAATGAATTCCCAACAGGCAGAAGTTTGCATGAACAAAAATCTAAAACACACACCCCCAAAAAAATGTACTGGCAAGGAGCCAGGATCTTATGCTGACGTAAAATCCTAGGATGTAAGATCAATGGACAGGTGCAAGTAACCAACTACTAACATTTAATAGACACAGCAGGTAAACAAAATATGATATTTTTGATACAGGTATACACGGTATGCATTCTAGGTGGACAATATATAGAACACAATTTCTGGAATCTAGTCTAATGCTGGATAAATGCAGATGTGGTTGTTGTTTACTGGTTAAAAACCAGACTGCTTTCATACAATAAATATGAATGAACTTGAAAAACAGCTACATGTATTCATAGGTGTAGGGGCTGGAGAGGGGGGGGGGTTAGCCATTTCACTTTTACAATCACTCAGTCATAGCCATAGGAGGGCTAAACATAATTCATTTTTTTCTGAATGGTTATAGCACATTACTTAAAATTTTGTTTCCTACTTGCCTATGGCTAGTATTACAGATGAAAAGTACACAATGCACCTATAATGTTCAAAACCATCTGCAAACATTCAATTTTGTCAATCCAGACACATTTCAACCTGATGCAACAACGGGTTCTTCCTTATATCAAATACATTGTCAGATACCTGTACCTCTGTAAGTTCAATACAAGGAGGGCATCTTGATAGTCCAAAGGTTCATTGGTCTGAAGGTTCACTGGTCAAAAAAATCGTAACATTTTCTTCAGTTTTTAAATCAAGGGTTTGTTGGTCAGAAGGTTCTGTACCCGTAGTGAACATTCGGACCAATGAACCTTCAGTCCATTGAACCTTCGGACTATTGCTACAGCCCCAAAACAAGGGCACCAGCAGTTTGAACAGTCTTAAGTGTGTGCTTGTTTTGATAGAAATACCTGGTATTTCTCTGATACATGACAAATTGTGCAAGCATACTTTTTTTCACTCTAACAGTTTTAAAAACCGCAAAGCAATTGGCCTAGTTTATATTGTCATCAATTTGTTGAAGCCAACTGTCAGGCTGAACTGTTTGAAAAAATGGGAAATTAATTGATTTTCACCAAATGGGAAGCTTCTCTGACCAACTGGAAAATCTTTTTACAAAAACAAAACATTTCATTGTTAGTGAAAAAATCTTTCATCCTCGCAAGAAATAAGGAGAAAGAGAATGAAACATGGAAAGTATGAAGAATAAATAGCAAGGTATAATACTGTGACTACTGATAAGTTAGATAGTGAAGGGTTCAAACTGTTACTAACCTTAAACAAAAATTCTATAATTAAATCAAAAATATAACATTCTGTACTCATGCAGATACACGTCATTCCTGCAACAAATATACCCAGTTTCTGTATCAGACGTTGACATATACCTCATTCCTGCACCATACCTCAATCCTGTACAATGTATACCGTACTTAAAACCAACTCCAAATGTACCTCATCCCTGTACAGTACCAAAAATACCTCATTCATATACCAAACATACCTCATTCCTGTACCAAACATCATTCCTATACAAAACATACCTCATCCCTGTACCAAATATACCTTATTCCTGAACCAAGCACATCTCATTCCTGTACCAAATTTACTTCATTCCTCTACCAAACATACCTCATTCCTGTACCAAATGTGCCTCACTCCTCTACCATACATACCTTGTTCATATACCAGATGTACCTCATTCCTGTACCAAACATACCTCATTCCTGTACCAGATGTACCTACCAAGTGGCACTGATGAGATCTGTGTGAACAGGTCCAACAAAACATTGCCATCTGCATCCACAATGTAGTTCCCCCGGCTGGCTTCATAGTTCACAAAGAAATGGACATGGCCAATATTCTGAAATAATTGATAACTGAAATACATCTGATACCCTATAAATTGTACACTTTGGGACTGGAAATTTTGCTAGAGTTTGCGAGTTATCAGACTGTATTGTTATAATTTCATGTCCAGACAAGCAGTCTATTATGATACTTTATTTGTAATACAACATAATATTGATGTGTAATGTAACAACAAGGTAAACATGAAGAAAAAATTGATAAGCTGACTTTATTGTTTTCTAGAAAAAAATCTATGCACGGTCAAATCTAAAACAACAAACATCCTTATTTTTATAGAGCTTACTATAGGTTTTATTTCTACATCATAATACTATTTGGCAGGTTCAATAATTCAGCTCTGTCTTGCATATATATATGGTGCAATATGGGTTCCCTGTCAAATGTGACTGAAAATCATGCCAACATCAAAGAAATGCAAACTTCAAGGTCAATAAACCTATAAATTCAACTCTTTGATATGTTAATTCACATGGCAATTTAGTAGCATCTTTAGCATTTTTATGTGTAATTACATAATTTGAATTTACAGTATTTAGCAACAGGCAGTCAGTGCAAATTTTTTAAAGTAACAAATCCAACGACATGATCACAATGTGCAGAACTTATATATAATCATGTCACGTATGCTGTCTGAATAGTACATAAAATCAATACGATAATAACACATAAAGCAGAGAACTTGACATGTAACTACAGTACTGTTATAGAAACAGTTGAGGAGGGTTTAATTACTAGTACTAGTAGGTGGTTGTTAAGCTGTAATGTGAATTTTATGTTTGGATTACGAACAAATGTGGTACAGCTTGTACTGCACCCCATTCTTTGTAAATCACTTTTTTAGAGATGTGACAGCTGGGGACGCAATTCATACCACTATTATGCATTATAATTACCTTGACCTAAACCCGTATACCTGTAATTATATGATACCTTTCTTTTAAAGATTCTTAAAAGAATTATAGTGTAATTTTAGTTGCTCGTTTGACTAGAGATGATTGACAGTGTGAATTTAACTTACTTATACTAACCATAGAAAATGTGTGTTATTCTAATATCATCTCATTCTATATAAAACATCATTATATCTGAGAAGAAAGATAGAGGTCTTGGACTAGTATTAAATGCTGACCAGTTTTGACAAATTAACTGAGAGGGAAATATTAAATCTTTGGTTTATTTTTCATTTGGTCCGACTATCCAGAGCCCTAGAAAACATATTTTTAAATATTTCAGTTTCTTGCCTATATCATGGTGCAAGTACATTTTCATCTTCTTTATAATAAAGGTATATGTTGTAGCCATGTTATTAGTATTAATAAAATGGAACTCCAGCAGTTACAAACTGACATATGATACTGTAACACAAGGCAGCAGATAAACCCCAGAATACATAACATATAAAATAGGCAATAGCTAGGCCTCACATCAAAGCCTTGACCTCTTTTAAAGCTCATGAGGGCGACAAGCAGATTATTGGAGCATGCAAGACCGGGCAGCCTAGATTTTTTTTACATGGAAAAAATGCCCAAAAATGTAGTTTGTCTTAGAAGTGGTCTTAGAACGCATAGTTGATGTCAACATGCATATGTGTCTGTGTCAGTGCAAGTGCCTACATGCATGTGAAAACATTTTAATCATGTGAGCTTAATAAAAGCAAATATGCATTTGCAAATTCAATGTCTGCAGAATTATATCTCTTACAGCATTGACATCATCCAGATCGGCACATAGTGCTTTTGATCTGGGGCCCGGAACAGGTGTCTTCATACAAGGTGCCTCGTACTCATTGGGGACAAGAGACTCCACATCAATAGTCTGAGCACTGGTGAACTGACTGCGGACTGAAATAGAACAAAATACACCACACAATCAATCAGTCCTTGCAATATTGATAGAATGAGCAATGCTCATCAAGAACAGCAGTGACCTTATTATCAGAATGCCTATTTTAAATTATCAGCTTCATTCCTGTGAGCAAAGTTTTGTTGAAAAACTGTCAATAACTGTCATGTCACCAGTTCAAATTATGACTATCCTGACATTTTTAAAAATATAATTAGAACAATTAAATAATAAATAAAAAAAGAATAAACATTACTTATATACAACTAATAAGCATTATTTGAATACAACTTCAACTTTTTGTCTGCAATTCCCCCTCATAAATCAATATCATTATCACTGCACTACAATGTACATATGACTCCATCAGTGAATTTATTTTTGGGTCAGAGGCGTAGTGTTCGCTGGCAACTGGAACCAGTAAACACCGTTCAAGAACCAGATGAAACCGGTTCCCCCCATCCCCTGACCTAGTTTAAACAAACAGGTGGTCTATTGCTAGTCTATAGGCTTATCGCATAAAAATATCGTGCTGTGCACCAGGCAGTATATAGGTGAATTTTTTTATCATTTGAAGTTTTCTATCTTTTATTTACTGTGCGATTACATATAAACTTTCTAATTCTGTACTAATAATAGACTGGTCAGCTCTGCTATTTTTTTAACAATTACTGGTACGGTTACTACCGGGTGATATAGTACATTGCAGCCAGTTCCCGCTGTGTGAGATTCAGAGCAAAACGTGCACCTTGCTGTTGGTGGATTATATATAAAACACTGTGCTTTATAAACAACATTTGTTGCAATCGATGAGATAAAAGAAAAAAACCGACCAAAAATTAAATCTGAAAATGTGGCTCCTGAACACTATTTTCATTGTACGCTTACTGGTACACAATACTGTTGTGTTAATGAGTTGTAATGTGATTATAAATATTGATTTAAAATTGTACTAGATTCTGCTTACCTGATTTTGTTAAGTGCTGTACAGGCACAGAATACAGCCTTCGAAGCATCTCCCCAGGATCTTGATCAACAATGACACAACGTAGTTCTTCTTCTTTCTTCGTGTAACTCTAGCAGTATTGCGAACGTCAAATTACTCGCAAGTGGTGCGCTTTGTTTATATTATGCTCTACAGTAGGTCAGGGGTCAGAGGTCAAACACCATCAAAACGTCCAGCATTTAATAAAGAACAATCTACAAAGTGGTTATATTTCCAATATATTTTGATGTCGTGTACTTTATTTTGTTGTATATTGTAATGTTATGTGCATGGTTCAAATGTGCATGAGCGAAAGTTGCAAAACAAATTTTTGAATTTCTTTAATTACGAGCTGCGGGATAGACCTGTCATGGCGGGCCGCATAAATTCAATCTGTTCGTTTCCTTGAGTTGTCTTCTATATCTTGTTCGTTTGTCAGTAACTTAACTTCTGGGTGGGATTTTGTTCGTATTCGAGTTCAACATAAACGACGGAACGGCAAGTGTTAGAACGATGGTCTTCTTGTTGTAGGAAACGGTCTTGGAAGTGTAAGTTTTCCAAGTTTAGTCTCGAGACGTATGCTAGCACGCGCGGCTGTCACCTTGATCGGTTAGTAAACGAGTGTCGTAAATCGTCATGTGATTAATAAACCGATAAAACAACCTTATATGGAAGTTGAAGCTTGTTCATTTTTTGTTATGCATGTCTTTTTATTATTATTGCAGAATAAATTTAGTTTTGTAAAACTGCAGAATGGATACGCCAGATGACAACACAGCTGTGATTCGCATGAAGCGTGACTTTGATGCTTTTATTTCATCTCAAAGTGGGTCTGCCAGTGGTAGGATAAATTTTGATCAAACCGCCTCACTTGACATTAGTAGAGGCAGTGCAGTTTCAATGCAGTCAGTTTTGGGTAAGTTTGAGGCCTCTGTAACCCATTCCTCTTCTGCTCTGCATTTCAACTTGGCTGTTTAAAGTACGAGGAAAACAATATTTCAGTACTTCAGTTTGATTGCATATGAAATTAATGTCTTGTCTCCCCTTCTGAAATAGAGACACTGTAAATGACTACAAGTAATATATGGTGAACACTGTCTGTCTGTGTTTTCGCTGTTGTTGTTGTTGCCATCACCATTCAAATCTTTGAAAAATGCTTTTGTCATCCATTTTGCCTAGAATAGATATCATTGAATCCATTTTGAAAAACATTGCCCGTTAAATGCCTGTATATGTGCCATCTTCAGTGTCTAGATAAATCCATTCCACTCATATCCCTAAGCTTAGTAATGTGTATCCATATTTGTTATTTCTGATATCAGAGAAGCAGAAGGAGGACCAGAAGCTACGGGCAGATTTGATTGCAGCCAAGGGATACATCACGAAGCTTGAGTTACAGCTGGCAGCCGTGGAGGCCAGCAACAAGAGGGCCAGAGTGGAGTATGACAGAGACTTGGGCCAGGTGAAGCTGGAGCGCATGGTAAGTTCATGTGGTTTACGCAGGCTAGTCAGAGTTTTGTCCACTTGCTAATTAGCATTCCCTGTAGTAAAAATCTTGGAAAAGGATTTTACAATTTTTTGGTAATTTATCTGTGATTATCTGCGACATAGCATTAGTTCATTGTTGTGAGATATTTAATTAAAGGGGATTTAATGTGTAAGAGGATATTTGTTCCATCATTAGTGGTATATTTATCATTTATATTTACACAGAAATAGTTATTTAGAACTTATAAGACAATTGGGATAATCCAGTTGTCTCACAACTTCACAGTGAAATCAATATTTTGCAGGATTTGGAGGAGAATGGTATTAGAAATAATGGCAGACTAGCGGATCAATTAATTTTTTATTCTAAATTAGATAGTTATTCACCATAAAGACAAAGCTCATTTCAACAAGGAGTCATTTCAGGCTGAAATTTACTTATGCTTTTGTGGACTGTTTTATTAGTTTTCTTCTTTTAGAGAGAATCGGAACAAATAACTGAACTGAAAAACCAGCTGCATTTTATTGCTGAGAGAGAGAAGAGGTTGCAAGAGGAGCTGGAGGAGTGCAAGCAGACACTCTCCAAGACCAAGACAAGCCAGGACCAAAAGCTTCTTGGGTTGCAGAAAGAGAAGTATAAACTGGAGAATGAATTAGAAGAAGTGAGACTAATGCTAATGCAAAGTTATTGTCTGGGATATTGGCTCATTTTTTAAAAGAAAAAAACATTTTATTTGATTTAGGAGAAAAAATGATGAAAAATCTTGCATTTCAGATGTGTGATGAAGAGATTTTATTTTGCTTGTTTTTTTATGAATCATTTTGAATTTATAAAATAATTTGCTGTTGGTTTTACAAATCAGTATTGTATTTTTAACCAAATGTTTAAAGTTTAGTCATCATCAGTCGATGAAATCTTCAACAGTTTGATTCTTTTGTCTTTGCAGGTACAGGAGGCATCAAGGAGTAAGGTTACAGAATTGAACAACCATATTATGAGGCAGCAGACGGAGTTGAAGATTAAACAAAATGAATTAGATGAAACTAAAGAAAAATTTAGAATGTACAAAGAGTAAGGGCATATTATAACCAAATTGTTTAATGATGGCATAATAATTCTGTGCCATCTAAAGAAGAAGTAGATTCAGGCTTGTGCTTACGGCATCTTTTATTGTCAATATTTTTTCTAATGTCTGCCCAATTTTTGCTCAGAAAATGCAGCTGTATTCTTGTATTCTGTAAGATATGTGCCATATTTTTTTTTGAAATGGTGTTGTTCCAAAGTGGATGTTTTTTTAAATTATCCTTATTTTTTAATATCAGGCGCAGTCGAGGTGCATCCAATATCTTAGAAAATGCAGAGAAATTAAAAGCTGATCAGAAGATTAAGGTAAGACAAAATAACTGAAGCTGTGCCATGGAATTGATAGTAACAGAATGCTTATTTGGCTAAAGAATGATTTATTGATTTCTCACTTTCACAAATTCATGATAAATTTCTAGTTATTACAGGCACTGTTTTCTTAAAGACAAAATTTAAAACTAAGGCAAGGTAGTACCCCTGTCTATTTTTAAAAGACAATTTGTTTTTATTGAACTTGATATTAGTAGCTTCTTCTGTCAGGAAAGCTTCCCAGCATTTTTTAAAATCGGATTTATATGACTATAAAATCATCATAAGAACAATTAAGGGAAATTGAAAGCCTGCCCAATTTCTGAGTAATAGTCCTGATTCTTGTTTTTTGATATCAGAATCATGATTCCATGGTCAATATCTATGGGTCCTAATCTAGTTGTTGTCCTATTGGGCGTCCTTGTCCTTCAGTTGAGGCAGTGAGCAGTGTCACATCCACATCTTGTTTTTCTATTCGGTTGCTGTAAAAATGGCCATCATGTCAGCCTGGCCTTGTGAGCCTGAAGTTTAAATAAGGTTTCATTTTGAAGATTTTGAACAAACAGTTTGATATTTGTTTGAGAGCAAAACACTTACCAAGGCTACATGGATAAATTATTACAATATTATAAGAATTTGATTTCTTTAAATCTTTTATTAATAAAAAAAAAGAAAATAAGATAAAGGGAAAGTAGGTTTATATAACTTGCTGATATTTTTGAAAATTAAAGGTCTGTATTTAAAGATTGATCTAGGCAACATGTGTAGGTCACAGGCCAGATCCCAATCTAGACCAGTTACTAACTGTTCCAGGCCAGATCCCAATTGGGGTATCATAATGAGCATATGGCCGGTGACATGTACATTGTTCGACATGGATGGCAAAAGTTGACATAATGATTTCTGTTAGAAATAGTATTTAAAAACACTGATATTATGGAGTACTTCTCATTCACAGATTTGCCTATTTTATCTTTAACTATACTTACATGTATGAGATGTCTGAAATTAAAATGAAAGATTCTATTATATTAAAAATCACCTTTTCCAAAGTGCCTGCCAAATGATCCAGGGGCATACAGGAATTGTGGGTAACTGGTGAAGTTCTCATAATCACATGGTGCAGAGCCTTTGTTGACCACGACCAGCCATCCAAAATCCGATCCACACCCATTATAATCCCTGTGTATGTAGAATTCTCTGACAACAGCTCTGCAATATGATGTGCAATGCTTTTATGTTAAAATTTTATTTAATAAGCCTTGTATCCATCTAGTAAGTGTTTTCCTGGATTTTTTGTGCTTTTCTTTTTTGTCCTTGTGTGAAAATGTTTAATCTGGTGACAGAAAAATTGAATTACTCTTTTGTTATTACACAATTTAAGGAAAGGCAATTCTAGGATTTTTCACAGGTGATGTAAAATGTTATAAAAATGATGTAATACAGGAAAATGAAAGATATATTTTTTTCCTGGGTACTTGGCAATAAGAGACTCTTAGTCTTGTGATGCATATCTTTATCAGGACTGGTCTTTTTTTAATAATCTGCTGAGACAAAAGCTTGTTTGAATTCATGTAAACATGCACATACACTCAGCTAAAGTGTGCCTGAGACTGTGTTACTATACCCATTATTTTCTCCAAGAATACTGAAGAAGTAACCATGTCTGTTTGTATCATATGTCTGCAGAATGTCTGCATATGGAGAGGAAATCAGGCGATCCTTGCTGAACCAGGTCATCTTGTCACTGCCTATGGCATTAAAAACAAGGACAAGCCGCTCAATGCCAGCCTGATACAGCACCACCTTCACCTAAATTGATACAGAAATAAAAAAAATCTAAAGATGTAAAATATCTTGGTGTAGATAATATTGTCTGAATTTTTTCACAACAAAGATTTTTTTTTTTTTCAGAATAGTGGTAACTCATCCCAGTAGTTCCAACTAACACAATCATAGTAACTCGTTCAAGTAGACCCCCCACACACACATACACACACACACACACACACACACACACACTCCATATATTGCCAGCTTACATATTTGATGTTCTGGTTCTTCCAGTTATTCACTGCAGCAGACTTATAATGGTGCTTGTAGTTAGTGTTCAGTTCCTGGGCTGCCTTGATGTCTTCATTCAGGGCACTGTCTGACTGCCACAGTTTGCCCAGGCTTCCCCCGCCAGCACCTGCCACGCCTTTGAACACCAGGGTCCACTTAGATGGTCTTGATTAATAGAGAAAAAGGCAAACTCATGAAACAAAGTGAATAAAAGGGCATTGGAGACACTTGTGTATGGAATCAGAAAAAAATGAAATTGACTTGGACATTTTGTGAATATTTTGGTTGCTAGTATGAGTTAGAATTAGATGAGAGATTGATTATCTGATACCTTTTGATGCAGAGTTATAACTCCATACACACCTTTCTAGATTTCAAATTTTTTCTTGCAAACTTACCTGTGATGCTCGTCTGGCTAATCTGAACCTGTTGGTTGGCAACAGTCTTCTTCAGGTTTTCAATCTCGGCAGTCATTTTGTTCTCCATGGCCTGTCTGGTTAGAATTTCTTGCATGAGGCGCAGCTCCATTTCGCGAGTTTGATTTTTCAGTGCGTTGATTTGCTGCTGTTGGACGGCAGAGCCTTGACTGCAGGTGCTGTCGCACTTAATGCTTACCTCTTGGATAAGCTCCAGGTTGCGATTGGCAGTCTCTTCATAGTCCTGGCAGTTGCATTTCTCTATTGGTAATTTTGTCGTGCTTTGGCCAGATGTTGGGACACTTGTCACTCCAACTTGACAGTGAGTGACGGTTGACAATGTCACAGTGAGGAGAATGGTGAGGAGAGGCGCTGTGAGCATCATGGTGTCTCTGATCTAAAGCTGCTCTTGTGTGAAGTTTCCCACAGTTTTAAGTCCCCTGTTATCTGACTGCCACAGCCTCATGGTCTGAAGGACAAGTTTATATTTGATGTGGGGAGAAGGAGATAAATAGAAAAACAAATAGCAAATTTATTCCAAAATTCTTTTATGTTGCTATTGAGTAAATAATTTTTATTGAATTTCTGTGATATTTTTAATTCTAGATTTTAAAAAAAATTTGAATTCCAATTATCTAGAGATGTATTTTCCAAGTTCAAAAGTAGCAAGGATAGTAAGACTGTCCACCCTCTGTTTGACATGTGAAGCCCCAGTCAGTGGTCAGTTGTCATGATAGGTCTGGTTGTCTGTTGACTTTGCAATCACTGATCAAAATTTGTATTTGTGTTTACTTGTCTTTGTAAACATGGCCAGACAGTAACACAAACTGTTTGGAAGTCCAAGTTGAAAACAGGGATGGCTAGTTGTTAGAGTTGAATCCCATAAGTCTCTCTGTTTGTGATATGACATGAGAACTGTATGGCACATGCAATCACTGAGGTGTGGAGGTGAAATTTCATATGTTGCTTTTGCCAATGTTGTATATAATATACAGACTCGCCCATATTTCTCATTTGTTTAAATTCTGAAATTATAAAATTTATGAAATCAGGATTTTGTTTGCACCCCCACCATAATAAAAAGACTATCATGAGTACATACTTCAAATTAGATAAAAATTAGAAAACAAGCAAACATACCACATTCTATTTTACAAACAGATCGTTTAAAAATCTACTGGCCTGACTGGGAATATACTGTCTCAGACTAGCAGGTCAACCCAGTCTCTTAATTGAGGTTTTGCATTTAAAATGTGTGATACATATTAGCAAATCAATAGCAATTTGTTTTGGATGTTGAAGGAGCTGGAGCTGAAGCTACAGAGGATGGAGGAAGATGGTATTACAACCAAAGCCATGAAAAGTCAGTTGACTCAGCTACCAGAACTAGAGAAAGAGGCAAGAAAGCTGAGGGAAGAAAATAGGTTCTACAGGTACTGAAGTGTGGTCATGATTACCATGTGATGCAAATGTTACACCTGACACATATTTTACACAGTTCCTTTTCAACCTCTTATAGTTTGAGATGCAGCAGTGACTCAGGAATATACACTCCAATATCTTCTATTTGAAGAAACTATTATCATTGTAACACAGAATGTATTACATAGCTGATAACATTATTTGCTTTAAAAATCAAAATTTTGACATACAGCTTTGAACAACAAATAAAATTCTGACACGAGGAAGGCTTTTTTATTTTAAAAAAGTAAAGCATTTTAAGGTCGTACATTTCCCAGCCTTTTGATGACATTATGACAAGCATTGTCTACTATGTTGAATTCAGTAATATTTTTAGTAAGTGAATTTTGAGTTTTTTAAAAACAATTAAGTAATTCTTACTAATGACACTGCTTACTAATGAAAGAACAACGATAATCATGTCTTCATGAATTTGAAATTATGATTTTAAGTGATACATTTTCAGAGAAACAAGTGAAAACACACATCTTCTAAAAGAGCAGCTGGAGAGTTTGAAGCAGAAATGTGAGAGAATGGAAGAAAGAGGACAGGAGCTGGCCAAATTAAAAGTAGAAAATGAGGTAAGTTTTTGCAATTTAAAATATATTCAAGGTTTCAGAAGTCTCCATCTGTACTAGATTATGCTTCAATATAACAAAAATACTTGCTCATATATTGAAGTTACATTTTATTTGAGGGAAATGCTTATCAAATATTGCTTTTTATATTAAATTGATTAGAGAAGTACAATAAAAACTGGATTGGATTGCTGAATAACTAATTTGAAAGGATTTAGTTGCATGCTTCAAGTAAGTCTATACTCTGGCCTTGCCAAACATGTTTCCTTTATTGATTGTATATTGTAATAATGCATAATGATATGATATATAATTTTGTTATTTTAGGACCTGAAAAACAAGCTTAAACAGTGGGAGTCCCCAGGTGCCCCAGGAGGCTGGAAAGTACAGTAAGCTACTTACGCTGTGTCATTAAAAAACTGCTGCACAATACAAGTCTGACATATTGCTTGACTCATTAAAGCAAATCTTAATAACTTGGTTATGTAATTACCACCTTGGAGTAGATTTATGATCTGAAGAATGAAGTACAGTAAGTTACCCTGGACATCCTTACAGCAGTTTGTTTTGTTTATTTTTACCATCTTTGAAATGATAGGCAAAATTATTATTATCAAAAATAGATGATAACCTTTGAGTAATTTTTTACAGGCCTTTAAATTGTCCCTCGTGTATCTGGGACAAGAATTAAACATGTTTGACCTATGAGTTTTGACTTACATCATGTAAGTCTTCTCATTCTTCCATTTTCTTTGGTGGTCCGAGATGAGAGAAATGGTGTCAAACTACTGACATAGCTGGTCCCTCAATATGTGTGTTATTACTTACATTCATTATTTCCTTATTTCTGTAGGTCACCATCACAGCTGTCCCATTGTATAGCTGACCTCCAGAACAGCCAGTTGACAATGCTGGAACAAGAGGGAAAGCTCAAGTCCAGGTACATATACTACATATAGAACATCAACATGGTATCTTTGTTTAATGTATTTGATAATTATGATGGAGTATTACTGTGAAGACAGTGTTCTGGGGTTAGTTTCGTATAGCTGACATTAGCTGTGTGGCTATTTTACTTTGTGTATAATAATAAATCCAGTGGTCTACAATTGAAGCTTACTAATTTACAGATTCCCTTCCATCATATAACCAGGGTGTGTGACATGAACCAAGTTGTAGTATCTTTTGAGGAATATTGATACTTTGTGGTGAAAGCATTTAAAATCTGTCCTGACTGTGTTATTTCTTCTTCTGCAGCATCCACTCTATGCAAGCCAGTCTTGAGAATGCTCAAAGTAAACTGAACCAGGTCAGCAGAGAACTAGTGGTAGAACAGAATAAATCTACTCAACAGGGGGAGCTGCTCAAGAGACTTCAGAGAAAACTGCTGCTTGTCTCAAAGGTTTGGAGCTCTTGACATAAAGATGTTTTTTTAAGGCCAGTTTTTCTTGATGAAATTTTTATCTGTTTACTTTTTGTTGTTGAACCTTACTTTGCAGTCAAATTTTGGCATGACTAGGTCATGTTCATGTGTCATGTTCATGGTTTTTGTCATGACAGCAGTTCTCTTTGAACATTGCAGACTCAATCCAGGGGATCTGAACAGAAAGAGACTCCACATACATGCCTGCACAGAGCATTTATATAAAATAACAGATATTTCCATACTATTTACAGGAGAGAGATGGATACAAGAAAATCATCGAATCCTACGAAAGCGAGGTGACGGTAAATGTTGGGTCACAGAGCACCACCCGTGTGCAGCAGCTTGAGGCCACAGTGCTGGGATATCAGAAACAGTGCGAGGCTTTAGAAGCACAGGCTAACCAAGCTCAGCAACAGCTGGGAGACTGTAGAATACAGTGCCAACAGGTTAGTCCACAGAATATGATGTAGTTAGAGGGCAGCTGTGTCTCTAGTTTTAGATGCCTGAGCATATCAAGCTCATTAAGAACAAAAAAGGGTAGACTTATTATCATATTACACTTTAGGTAAGAAAATAAATTCAAAGTTAAGAAAAGAAAGGTTATGTAAGAACTGGCATATTAGTCTTCACGAGCAATTTTTGTAAATATAGTAGACTACATAATCTGTCACCTTGTAACCTGAAATATTATTTGTCTCAAACTTATGTTGTGGAACAATTTTTTTTTCTGTTGTGTTGCTGAAACTCTTGATGAACATTCCCTTACTCAAATCTGCATACAACTTCTCAAACCAGAAGTGTCTAAGTTTACTGTAATTCATATGAAAAAGTATTCTCTCTAGAATATAGAGCAACAAATTATCTTTCCTTTTAGTTGGAGCATAAACTGAGGGTTGCTGAGCAAACCAAATCTCTGGGCTCTGGGATATCAGAAGTTGAGCAGAAAACTATATTACAGCTAAGGTAGTACACCATATGTAATCTTATGAGCATTGTACCAGTTTGCTACTCCCATGTAAGTGGAGATATCATAACTCGAAGTTTTATCTTTTTTACAATTGTCATTTTATTGAATTATTACTATTTTTTATGATAAAATGCTGTGAAGGTGTAATCAAAATGGTAATGATCTGATTTCAGGGAAAAAATAGCAGGACTTGAGAAACAGTTGGAAATGGTGTCTGAGGAAAAGGAAATCCTAGAAGCTAGAATAGAGCAGAGAAATTTACAGGTATTATCATTGTTACAAAACTTTTATACAGTTTTAATCAGTAAAATTATTTGTACAGTAGTTAAAACTAATAAAAGTTTATTAGTCACCATAGTTACTTGGTTTATGTGTTGGATTTTTAAAAATCGAATGTGGTAATCTGTGATTTTTGTTTGCACCATTGAGAAAAAATATCGAAAAATCTAAAATACAATTCTGGATAACTTTCAGCAGTGCTATATTTTGAGTTCCAGGCAAACATTTAGCATGCCATAACATTATATTTTACTTTGAGTCCTTTAAACACTTGAGAAAGGAATTGATTTCTGGTTTAGGGGGACTATGACCCAACAAAAACAAAGGTGCTCCACTTCTCAATGAACCCTGCTGCAATGGCACAAAAGCAACGCCAGGAGGAGCTGGCACAACTACGAGAGGAGAATAGGAAGTTAAAGGAGAGAGTAAAGCTTCTGGAAACATCGGGAGGAGTGGTGGAGGATATCACACAAAAAGTGGACCAGAACGTACAGCAACCTTCCACTAGTAAAGAAGTTGTTGGTGAGTGGGTAATTTTAGCAAGGTTTTAATGTTTTATGCATGGTGGTTTAAAAATGTGTGTGTGTGTGTGTGTTTGTGACAGTACGTTTTGTAATGTCATCATGTAAGATGTATTTACTGTGTTAAATAATGTCAAAAATAAACTGAAATATGACAAAGTATTTTCTAACTATTGCAGATATCAAAGCACAGCTCTCCACTGCCGAACTGAAGAACAAGCGTTTAATGGAGGCGTTTAAGAAAACCAGTCAGGAGTTCCGGGAGGTGTGCTACCAGCTGACAGGCTACAAGATAGACATTCCCTGTACCAACCAGTACAGGCTGATGAGCATGTATGCAGAGTCTCCTGATGACTTCATCGTGTTTCAGGTAAATGTTGATGAGAATGTGATAGTTTTGTGCCCATTCATCTTAAATATGTAAAGTTGTTATGTGCACGTCCCCTTCCATTTAGTTCATTACATGTCTTACTTTATACAAGGAATT